AACCAGTATACAGTATCAGTTCTTTATGTTTGACAAGTAGTATGAAGCTGTGGCTTGGAGTATTGCTTCTACATACTATGTAATGTATTCCCTGTGAATCTGGTGATGTTTTTTTCCCCCTGTTCAGAGAAATTCATTATATGAAGTCCCTTGCATTATTTACCATAAAGTAGTGTGGAAGTACCAGGGTTTGACCACTAGATGCTGTTCCTGCTATACCGCCACACTCTTTTATCCGTTTTGCTTGACTTTTTAGTTTATTAAATAGATCACAACATTTCCTTTGCAACTTTGGGTAGAAAACCAATATATTTGGCTCATGATGAAAATAAATTGTCTGGTCAACCTCACAATTGAAGCCAGTACTCCATGAAAGTAAATCAGTTTGGCCTTCTTTTATGCTTAATCTTTGGCCAGGAAATGTCTCCTTTGTGTGTGGTTTATTCCCCTCAAAAAAAGTCTGGATTAGTTACTTTTAGACCATTCCTGGTGAACAAGCAAACCATTAGGCTACAGCAGTTCAAATGGTTTCAATGTTATGGTCTCTAATGGTCTTCAATGGTAAAAGTCCCAAACACACACTGTATAGGGTTTCGCAATTGTAATGGTATTGGGTTGCGTTGGGTTTAATGGTAAATATCACTAGTCACAATACACATAGAGCCATTTACAGATAATTTTATTGCAAAAATAAGACTGCCATTCAATTAATTATTTTATTAGGGATGTCACAACATTTTAGTCCCTAGCCCATTTCTCCATCAACTTTTTGGGCTTGTAGGAAAAGTCTTCATATGAGAATTGCATAGGGATAGCCCTATTAGAGAGCGGCCACTTGTTGGACTATACAAGGAGAGTTGGGTTGAAGCATTAGGTTGCTAAGAGATGGACAAACTTTCATGGAGGACTAGCTTGAATTGTGAGGATGACCACACAATTTATTTTCATAATGAGCCAAATCTATTGGTTTTCTACCCAAAGTATAGCAGGAACAGCGGCACCTAGTGGTCAAAACCTGATACTTTCACACTACTTTATGGTAAATAGTGCAAGCGACTTCAATGACAAATTTCTCTGAACAGTTGAAAAAAAACCATCACCAGATTCACAGGGAATACATTACATACTATGGAGAAGCAATACTCCAAGCCACAGCTACATACTACTTGTCAAACATAGAGAACTGATACTGTATACTGGTTGTTGGGGTGGGATTGGCATGGGGTGTGGGTGGTGTTTGACTATTTTAGTGGGATTCCTCATGTCTTACTCATTCATACGAAGAAGTTTGGTCCAAATTGGATGTTGGGAACTATATTTTGGTCATAAGCCCCTAACCTTGTGTCATTGTGTTGCGCGGCTTGTGCCCACTACTCCCTCCCACAGTCCCGTGGTGCAGGGACAATGGGGCATTAGAAGCACAAAGAGAATCCCGCTCCATAGCAGAATCAGAGCCAGGGAGAAAGGCCCCACACAATCGCTTGGTTCCATCAGCAGTAATTACACAAGAGAAAAACCTCTGGACGCTGACAATGGAGAGATGGACAGTGGTCAGCCATGTTAGAAAGAGAGACAGAGAGAGGGGGGACGGGGGATGCAAAGCAAAGGCATCTCCCTATGTTGCCTGTGTTACTCTTCTCTCCTCTTTAGATTAGTTCACCCTTTAGTCAGATACTTGTTAGGTCTGATGAGAAATGTTAAGGGAATTAATGCAGACTACTGGGCTGAGCGAATGTGTTGTTTACTGCTTGAAGAGTGACTGGTATCTGTCCCGTCCATGCCTGTCTCACAGGAGCAAATTCAACACCTCAGTTAGACTGTCAACAAGCCATACTGAGAGTCTATATTTGGCTTTTACTACCATGTCCCTCAGACTCTCCTCTCCTCCTCCTCCTCTACCGCTCTGTTGCAGTCTCTCTGTTTGTATCTTCTCATTCAATCACAAACCCTGTCTCTCCATCTCTTTCTCTCTCTCCCACTTCCCTCCAATAAACCCCTAACTGTGCTGTCGATTTCAGCCGTTAATCGCTCCTGGCAACACACTGCTGCCAGCTGGGGGCCTCCAACTAGCGCTGTGTGTATTTGTGTGTGACGACCCCCCCCCCCCCCCCCCCCACACACACATACACACTTTTCCTCCAATAACTGTCATCCTCCACACAAACACACACACACACACACACACACACACTCACACACTGGTGGGTTGTAAGGGAACAGAGACAGCTGCTCCTCACTGTGGCTGAGGTAACAGTCTCCTGTACCGGGGTTCTCTTTCTATTGGCTAAACCAGAGGAGTGACGGCAGGGGAGAGAGGCAGCGGACGGGAGTGTGTGTGAATATGTGTTTACAAAATAACCTTAGCTTTGGACTATGATGCCATAAAGGTGATACTCTCTCTTATTCCCCCCTCGGCTGTCCGCTCCTCCGTTTCTCTCCTCTCATATCTCCCTTTCTCTCTCTCTTGACTGTGGAACTAACATTGTTGGCCTATGGGTTGTACTTGAAGGACACACCATGGAGGTGAGATGCTGTATTTTTGTCCATTTATAATTTGTAGGTGGTCTGTATTATTATTATTATTATTATTATTATTATGTCTGTACACAGAATGTGAATAATGTTGTTACACAGGGTGAAGCTTGGGGGCATTTAAGCAAGGTGTCACTAATAGCTTTGTTTTGTTCAAGTATTTATCAGAATATAAAATGACTGTCTGAATTTCAGTTACAGTTTTAGTGCCATTTTCCTTGGATGTGTTGTTGTAAGGATCTTTTTCTGCCTACATGGATTAATACATATTATATTACATGGCTATTACATATTAGTACGGTTTTGGGCTTTTGTTTAGAATTGTGTGATTACTATACTATAAAGTGTTGTGTAATGTAATGTACTTGCTGTGTTGTAGTATAGCCTTGTCCAGTTCTGTGTTTAACATAGGATATTTGTTTAACAGTCACTGCTGGTAAAGTTATACAGTTTTTAGTAATATGTATTTTGTTATAGGTGTTCCATTCTATTTCCTTTCATTTCTGTTATTGAGGCTTGATTATTTTGGATTTAGCATCAGCACGGAGGCATTGGGATGAATTGGTCCAAATAGACTTGCTGCTGATAAATAGAACTATGTGCCTCATGAGTACTGTATGCACAGCAGTTAGATGATGAGTGCCCCATTCTTCTTGCTCCATATATACTGGGCTCTCTATGGATACTCTGTAATTCAGAGCCTGTCATCCTGCATGGGTCATGGTTATTGTGCCCGCCACATATCTGTACACATTATTTCATAAAAGGGCTCCATACTGTGGTGCTGTGGAGCTTTTGAGAGGGCGGGTTACCATGACGCACAGAAAAATGACATTCCCATAGCGACGGCTGCTTGGGGTCAAGAGCAGTGTTGAGAGATATTCCGAGTACGGACACGCTGAGAGGGAACGAAATAAAGATAAAGGGAGAGAGAGAGGAGGGGAGGAAAGAGGGAGAGGGTGGTGATTGAATTAAATTGTGTTGGGTTTGGTGTGTTCTGTAATGAATTTTGAAACTGTGGCCGCAATGGTAGAGAGAAACATAGATTTTCCTCTCTCACATACACACACGCTTACACACACACACACACACACACACACACACACACCAGTGGCGGTCGGTGCCATTTCCGATAATGGAGGATGATAATTTTTTGAATGAGCATGGCCTTATTTCTATTAAAGCATATTGGATGACTGTCATTTATATTCCATTCACCCAGATGAATGTAACATCGATAGGTTTAGGCTACTACATGATACTCAACATTTCCCCGTACCCATCATGATGTTGCTACAACCTAGCCTATGAATGAAAGTTTACAACATAGGTGCACAGGTTGAGAGAACAATTTGAGTAATCAAGGTGACAGACAGTGACACATTCAATACTGCCTTGCACACTCTTGCCTGCATCTAGCTGATCTAGGTTGTAATCATTAGTCCAACAGTGGACTAATAAATTAATAAAAGCAAAAGCTTACCTTGACTTGGAAGAGTTCCAGTGTTGGATAACAATAGCCAGCTAGCAACATAGCATCCCTCTCTGTTTAAGCGGGTGTTTGAGTAGGCTAAACTAGCTAGCTGCATTCGCTAGCTAAGTAAGTGAGAGTGAAAAAATATAGCTAGCTCTCGCTCCCTTCTCTTTCATTTTTGAAGAAATTAATTTGTTAAAAACTGTGCTAGCTAGCTGTAGCTTATGCTTTCAGTACTAGATTGATTATCTGATCCTTTGATTGGGTGGACAACATGTCAGTTCATGCTGCAAGAGCTCTGATAGGATGTAGGACATCCTCCAGAAGCATAATTACTGTGTAAGTCTATGGAAGGGGGTGAGAACCATGAGCCTCCTAGGTTTGTATTGAAGTCAATGTACCCAGAGGAGGACGGAAACTAGCTGTCCTCCGGCTACACCATGGTGCTATGCTACAGAGTGCTGTTGAGGTTACTGTTGACCTTCACTGCAAAACAGTGTGTTTTAATCAATTATTTGGTGACGTGAATATATTTAGTATAGTTTTAACTAAAAAAATTAAAGTATTTTATTTCTATTTTTATGAAATTCACTGAGGAGGATGGTCCTCCCCTTCCTCCTTTGAGGAGTCTCCGCTGATATCAACACACACACACACAGTCACACACACACCCTCCCGCGTTTCCTCTCTCCTGTGCTTTGTCATGTGGTGTTTGCCTTGTGTAAGCATCACTGTGTCCAGCAGTGAGAAGAGAGGGAACATTCTGCTCTCTCTCAACTCATACCCACATTCACTCAAATAGCTAGCTACTGAAATATATTCAAACATACATAAACTACGATATACAGTACTGCATACTTTCATATAGCTCAGTTGTTCCCAAACTTTGTTGCATTGTGACCCACCTAAGGGCTTTTGAATTGTTGTGTAATCCACCAGAGAAACCATGTCTACAGTCATAACATAGCTGGTATGTTTTCCCCTTTATATAATCAATGTTGACTGTCTCTGTCCATCTATAGGTAATGCAGGTTGTGCGTGAGCAGATCACCAGGACTCTGTCCAGTAAGCCCACATCTCTGGAGCTATTTAAGAACAAGGTGAATGCACTGAACTACAGTGAGATCCTCAAACTACGACAGACAGAGCGGCTGCACCAAGAGGAGACCCTCGCTCCGCCTGTATTGTGAGTCCTTTAACTGTTTGAGCAGAATAAAAAAAATTTTTCTCTCTCTCTCGCTCAATGACACACACACACACACACACACAACCCCTCATAAGCATGTACTTCCCCCAAAGGCCCCTAGAGGGCAGAGGTCAGCCCCCGTAGTGTATGTATGTGTGTATACTTACATTTTAAATTTACATTTTAGTCATTTAGCAGACGCTTTTATCCAGAGCGACTTACAGTTAGTGAGTGCATCCATTTTCATACTGGCCCCCCCGTGGGAAACGAACCCACAACCCTGGCGTTGCAAGCGCCATGCTCTACCAACTGAGCTACAGGGGACCTCCAGCGTGTATACCAGTATGTAAGTGTGAATGAATGACAATTCACCACCATTCTTCTCTGGTCCAGAATATTTTCGACCCCTATGAAATACGGGGTGTTGCTATACTCTGCTTCTGCCCTGTTTGTCACCAAACATCTGGGAAATGTCATGTGACCGTCCCAGTCACAGGTCCAGAGTAAAACAAGCCCATTTCTACCCAATTACACATTTCCAGTCAGCCAAGCAGCCCTGATCCTATCTGTTTGTCCTCATCCCATGTGGTCCATATTTATTAATATGTCCTTGCTTTATCAATGCAAGATACTCACTTATCAGTATCAGGTCAAATACAGCTCATTGAATTGAATAGAATAATGTTGAGTGTTATGGGTAGGGGAGAACCGGGAGGAAAGTAACACTTTTAGTTTTCTTCCTAATTACTCAGAGATCGATAGAGCTAGAGAGACCATATTTTATGACAAACAATATGTCCTCTACAATTAGCAACTGTAATTTAATTTCTAGGGTAAATTAGTTGAAATGAAATAGACCGAGAACAGAACTACCGCAATGTTACTTTAGTACCTGCCGGCGGGGCGGGAGTAACACAGCCTTGGGACGGAAGAGTTGGTGACAATATCTGTCTTATCGCCATGTTTCTGGTTTGTAATGCTTGTTACATTCAACAAATGGACTATCAGCCATAATTTCATGTTTGTGTCGATTTGAATAATTAATTAACCATGCGTCAACATCGCAATGTTGCACAACTACAATATTTTGCCTTACAATACTAAAATGGATCACATAATAGCTGTATTAACCATCTCACTTTAATGGGAATGTAGTATGATATGTTTCTCATCATTTTCATTGACCATTCATGCTTAGCCCTACCAATCAGGTACGCTCCAGCTGTCCTTGTCATGCACTCTCCTCATGTCTTGATAGAATAAACATTTTTATTTTCTTCACAAACGGCAAACTCATCAGGCTTTTCACATTTCCATCGCTTGACACAAGGTAATTAACCCCCAGAATCAGAAAGATATATATTTTTAACCACTAACCTGACGATAAGAAGCTGATCCATTAAGGCCTAATTCTAATGATGTCATATATAATTTTCAAACATCCAGTCACTTGTTGATATTTTGCTAACATTATGAAAGCAATATGAACTAGAGGAGACAATGGCCTGTGCTTAAACTTTTATTATTTTATTTTATTCCAGTAAACATTGTGTTAATTTCGTCCCACACGTCTCTCCTGTAAGTTCTCCCATGCTAACACCCAAGACTAGCTAGCATGATTCTTGAAACCTATGCTGTCATTTAGTCACTAGATGGGTTAAGACAATTACATACAGTACCAGTCAAAAGTTTGGACACACCTACTCATTCAAGGGTTTTTCTTTATTTGTACTATTTTCTACATTGTAGAATAATAGTGAAGACATCAAAACTATGAAATAACACATATGGAATCATGTAGTAAACAAGAAAGTGTTAAACAAATCAAAATAAATGTTATATTTTAAGATTCTTCAAAGTAGCCACCCTTTGCCTTGATGACAGCTTTGCACACTCTTGGCATTCTCTCAACCAGCTTCACCTGGAATGCTTTTCCAACAGTCTTGAAGGAGTTCCCACATATGCTGAGCACTTATTGGCTGCTTTTCCTTCACTCTGCGGTCCAACTCATCCCAAACCATCTTAATTGGGTTGAGGTCGGGTGATTGTGGAGGCCAGGTCATCTGATGCAGCACTCCATCACTCTCCTTCTTGGTAAAATAGCCCTTACACAGCCTGGAGGTGTGTTGTGTCATTGTCCTGTTGAAAAACAAATGATAGTCCCACTAAACGCAAACCAGATGGGATGGTGTATCGCTGCAGAATGCTGTGGTAGCCATGCTGGATAAGTGTGCCTTGAATTCTAAATAAATCACCAACAGTGTCACCAGCAAAGCACCCCCACACCATCAAACCTCCTCCTCCATGCTTCACGGTGGGAACCACACATGCGAAGATCATCCGTTCACCTACTCTGCGTCTCACAAAGACACGGCGGTTGGAACCATAAATCTCAAATTTGGACTCATCAGACCAAAGGACAGGTTTCCACCGGTCTAATGTCCATTGCTCGTGTTTCTTGGCCCAAGCAAGTGTCTTCTTCTTATTGGTTTTTGTGACTGCACTTGAAGAAACGTTCAAAGTTCTTGAAATTTTCCGTATTGACTGACCTTCATGTCTTAAAGTAATGATGGACTGTTGTTTCTCTTTGCTTATTTGAGCTGTTCTTGCCATAATATGGACTTGGTCTTTTACCAAATAGGGCTATCTTCTGTATACCACCCCTACCTTGTCACAACACAACTGATTGGCTCAAACGCATTAAGAAGGAAAAAATTCCACAAATTAACTTTTAACAAGGCACACCTGTTAATTGAAATGAATTCCAGGTGACTACCACATGAAGCGGAGTGTGCAAAGCTGTCATCAAGGCAAAGGGTGGCTACTTTGAAGAATCTCAAATATAAAATATATTTTGATTTGTTTAACACTTTTTTGGTTACTACATGATTCCATATGTGTTATTTCATAGTTTTGATGTCTTCACTATTATTCTACAATGTAGGAAATAGTAAAAATAAAGAAAAACCCTTGAATGAGTAGGTGTGTCCAAACTTTTGACTGGTACTGTATGTTTGGAACCTCAAAACCACTCAAAACGAAACATGGTCGGACGTGGCTGTTTTTTTGCTGGGAGCTCGTCTTCCGCATTAGGAACATGCTGACTTCACTACGTCATTCTAGCTTCTGTCTTATCTGAGAAAATGAGCACGTTACTTTATACCCATAGTACTTTAGTCCTGGCTCTCCCCTACTTGCAGTGTTTGACTGTTTCTCTGTATGCACCCCTGCAGAGAGCTGAAGGAGCGTCTGAAGCCTGAGCTGTTGGAGCTGATTCGCCAGCAGAGACTGAACCGCCTGTGTCAGGGAACACTCTTCCGCAAGATCAGCAGCCGACGCAGACAGGGTGAGACCCCTCACATCTCTGTGAGAGGGGTGGACAGGCATTTCCATTAGAAAGAGATAGAGAAGTAAAGGGGAAGCTACCAGGAGAGCCCAACCCCCAGTGAAAAGTAGGGAGACGAAGGAAGGATGGTAGATGAAGAGACAGTTAGCCTTTCTTAAACCATGCTGATTATTTATTATTATTGGTCATTTCAGATAAGTTGTGGTACTGTCGTTTGTCACCCAATCACAAAGTCCTGCACTTTGGCGATGTGGAGGAGGACACAGAAACACCCCCCATCGAGAGTCTCCAGGAGAAGAGTGAGTTATTAACAACAGCAACACTATGAGTGACTCTGTAACCTTCCACTGTAGCCTTGACACTGCTTTGACATCAGCCTCTGTCATTGGCTCTGTGTTCAAAGCTGAGGTGTGCCGCTAAACATGCTCTTCCTATTTTCCTCTCTCAGTTCCTGTTGCAGATATCAAAGCACTGCTGACAGGGAAAGACTGCCCTCACATGAAGGAGAATAAGGGCAAACAGACCAAGGTTTGTACGATAAGATATACAGAATGGAAATGTGTCAACTGCTTTTATCCAACCCCCTATATACAGTGGGGAGAACAAGTATTGATACACTGCCGATTTCGCAGGTTTTCCTACTTACAAAGCATGTAGAGGTCTGTAATTTTTATCATAGGTACACTTCAACTGTGAGAGACGGAATCTAAAACAAAAATCCAGAAAATCACATTGTATGATTATTAAGTAATTAATTTGCATTTTATTGCATGACATAAGTATTTGATACATCAGAAAAGCAGAACTTAATATTTGGTACAGAAACCTTTGTTTGCAATTACAGAGATCATACGTTTCCTGTAGGTCTTGACCAGGTTTGCACACACTGCAGCAGGGATTTTGGCCCACTCCTCCATACAGACCTTCTCCAGATCCTTCAGGTTTCGGGGCTGTCGCTGGGAAATACGGACTTTCAGCTCCCTCCAAAGATTTTCTATTGGGTTCAGGTCTGGAGACTGGCTAGGCCACTCCAGGACCTTGAGATGCTTCTTACAGAGCCACTCCTTAGTTGCCCTGGCTGTGTGTTTCGGGTCGTTGTCATGCTGGAAGACCCAGCCACGACCCATCTTCAATGCTCTTACTGAGGGAAGGAGGTTGTTGGCCAAGATCTCGCGATACGTGGCCCCATCCATCCTCCCCTCAATACGGTGCAGTCGTCCTGTCCCCTTTGCATCCCCAAAGAATGATGTTTCCACCTCCATGCTTCACGGTTGGGATGGTGTTCTTGGGGTTGTACTCATCCTTCTTCTTCCTCCAAACACGGCGAGTGGAGTTTAGACCAAAAAGCTCTATTTTTGTCTCATCAGACCACATGACCTTCTCCCATTCCTCCTCTGGATCATCCAGATGGTCATTGGCAAACTTCAGACGGGCCTGGACATGCGCTGGCTTGAGCAGGGGGACCTTGCGTGCGCTGCAGGATTTTAATCCATGACGGCGTAGTATGTTACTAATGTTTTTTTTTTTTTGACTGTGGTCCCAGCTCTCTTTGAGACTGTGGTCCTGCCATGTAGTTCTGGGCTGATCCCTCAGCTTCCTCATGATCATTGATGCCCCACGAGGTGAGATCTTGCATGGAGCCCCAGACCGAGGGGGATTGACCGTCATCTTGAACTTCTTCCATTTTCTAATAATTGCGCCAACAGTTGTTGCCTTCTCACCAAGCTGCTTGCCTATTGTCCTGTAGCCCATCCCAGCCTTGTGCAGGTCTACAATTGTATCCCTGATGTCCTTACACAGCTCTCTGGTCTTGGCCATTGTGGAGAGGTTGGAGTCTGTTTGATTGAGTGTGTGGACAGGTGTCTTTTATACAGGTAACGAGTTCAAACAGGTGCAGTTAATACAGGTAATGAGTGGAGAACAGGAGGGCTTCTTAAAGAAAAACTAACAGGTCTGTGAGAGCCGGAATTCTTACTGGTTGGTAGGTGATCAAATACTTATGTCATGCAATAAAATGCAAATTAATTACTTAAAAATCATACAATGTGATTTTCTGGATTTTACAGACCTCTACATGCTTTGTAAGTAGGAAAACCTGCAAAATCGGCAGTGTATCAAATACTTGTTCTCCCCACACACACATGGTTGGAGAGGCTGGAGCAGAGGACAGCGCAGCGCCCAATGAGCAGTTTAGGGGGTTAAGTTCCTTGCTCAAGTGAACATCAGCAGAAGGTGGCACCTGAGATATTGATGCCAGCAACCCTCAGGTTGCCGGCTCACTGCCTGCCAGATCCCCCCATCAGCATTGGCTACCGCTGCCCCTACTGACAACATCCCTTGAACATTCCTTTGGCCCTACGGCTAACTTCTTCTTTCACACTATGTACCTGGCCCTCCATAAACTATGGTGTGCTGTGTCTTCCTGCAGGAAGTGTTGGACCTGGCTTTCAGCATCACTTATGACATGGAGGAGTACAGCCTCAACTTTATCGCCTCATCCAGAACAGACGTGAGTAGTGACGTAATGACACAGGAGCTACTGTCTGTACTGTCCACATAGATCGTTCTCTCACTCTCTTTTCCCAGAGTTAAATCACACATCTCTCTCTCTCTCTCTTTTTATCTTTCTGTCTCTCTCTTCCCTCTCTCAATTTAATAACTTAATTGGTGTGGATAGTTAAAGCATGTACATTGCCAAAGTAAACATACAGTATAACAAAGATGGTCAAATAACAAGATGATCTCTCTGTCTCCCTTCTTCAGTTCTGCCTGTGGACAGACGGACTGAGCGTGCTCCTGGGGCGGGACATGAGCAGTGAGTGCATGAGGAGCGAGCTGGATATCCTGCTCTCCATGGAGATCAAGCTCCGCCTCCTGGACCTGGAGAACGTGCCCATCCCAGACAGCGCCCCCCCGGTGCCCAAACCCCCCAGCAACTTCAACTTCTGCTACGACTTAAGCCAGGCTGAGCAGTAGGCCTGGAGAGAGGTCAAGGCATGGCAGAGGAGGAGACCTGGGGCATTTTCAGGAGGATGTAACGTTACAGAATGTTCAGATAGAAATGCGTGAAGTAGAACAGACATGATCATCTGTCTGATGGAATAGGGAAGCATGTCAGCTCTTCATTCTATTTCTATCTGCCACGTTCAGAATGTTTCATGTCACTGAATGTACCCCAATAACGACCAAGCATGTGGACATAGCTGGATACACAGGAGGAACAGTGGCAACATGGAGGTCTGGATGGACATAAAGATGATCTAAAGCAGAGGTGTCTTCTTATATGGGCAGAGTAATGCGGAAGACGAGAGGCTGAAGTCGATTCCTTGGGTACTATTAGAGTGGTCAACTTTTGGGGTGTGGTCTGGGTACACAAGTGTATTGTACCTGTAGAAATGAAAAACAGAAAGGAAAATGCCACACACTGCTGCTCATGCTCCCAGGTGATATTTATTTATAACAACGTTTTGACCCTTAGGTCTTTATCAGGCATCCATATCCCAGGTGGGGGTGAAAGGTCCTATATATAGGGGCAGTACTCAGTGACATCACTTCCTGAAACAGGAGGTAAAAAATATATAACATAGGGTCACAATATTAACATTCAATGTATCAAAATATATGATCATACACAAGGAATGTGATCAATATTTACAGTAATATATATATATATACACATACAATATTCAATTAGGATTTTAAAAAATACAATAATTCGGACAAACGGTTTTCAAGAAATGACCCACAAAATGAGAACTGGCTTCTGAAGGGAGTTATGTTTTCTATAGCTTGATACTTTAGCATTACTTATCTTCAGTGTTTCTCCCATTCATACTTTGGTCTTCACCTCCATGGCTCCAGTCCTTCACGGTCCTCTGTGTATTGTGTTTGGGCAGAGAGTTCATGTTTAATTTTAGTCATATCTGTGTTTCTAAGTTTTTCTAGTTTTTCAACTTTTTGGGGGTGTTTTCCATAAACTGATACCTTTGTGAGACAGGAGGCATGACAGCTCTTCTGAACGTACTCAACCAAAGGATTGAAACAGAACAGGGCCATACATCTTTTTTTGTATATACAGTTGAAGTCGGAAGTTTACATACACATAGGTTGGAATCATTCAAACTCATTTTTCAACCACTCCACACATTTCTTGGTAACAAACTATAGTTTTGGCAAGTGGGTTAGGACATCTACTTTGTGCATGAAACAAGTAATTTTTCCAACAATTGTTTACAGACAGATTTTTTCACTTATAATTCACTGTATCACAATTCCAGTGGGTCAGAAGTTTACATACACTAAGTTGACTGTGCCTTTAAACAGCTTGGAAAATTCCAGAAAATGATGTCATGGCTTTAGAAGCTTCTGATAGGCTAATTGATATAATTTGAGTCAATTGGAGGTGTACCTGTGGATGTATTTCAAGGCCTACCTTCAAACTCAGTGCCTCTTTGCTTGACATCATGGGAAAATCAAAATAAATCAGCCAAGACCTCAGAAAAAAATGGTAGACCTCCACAAGTCTGGTTCATCCTTGGGAGAAATTTCCAAACGCCTGAAGGTACCACGTTCATCTGTACAAACAATAGTATGCAAGTATAAACACCATGGGACCACGCAGCCATCATACCGCTTAGGAAGGAGACGCGTTCTGTCTCCTAGAGATGAACGTACTTTGGTGCGAAAAGTGCAAATCAATCCCAGAACAACAGCAAAGGACCTTGTGAAGATGCTGGAGGAAACAGGTACAAAAGTATCTATAGCCACAGTAAAACAAGTCCTATATCGACATAACCTGAAAGTCTGCTCAGCAAGGAAGAAGCCACTGCTCCAAAACCACCATAAAAAAAGGCAGACTACGGTTTGCAACTGCACATGGGGACAAAGATCGTACTTTTTGGAGAAATGTCCTCTGGTCTGATGAAAACAAAATAGAACTGTTTGGCCATAATGACCATTGTTATGTTTGGAGGAAAAGGGGGGTGGCTTGCAAGCCGAAGAACACCATCCCAACCATGAAGCACGGGGGTGGCAGCATCATGCTGTGGGGGTGCTTTCCTGCAGGAGGGACTGGTGCACTTCACAAAATAGATGGCATCATGAGGAAGGAAAATTATGTGTATATATTGAAGCAACATCTCAAGACATCAGTCAGGAAGTTAAAGCTTGGTCGCAAATGGGTCTTCCAAATGGACATTGACCCCAAGCATACTTCCAAAGTTGTGGCAAAATGGCTTAAGGACAACAAAGTCAAGGTATTGGAGTGGCCATCACAAAGCCCCGACTCAATCCTATAGAAAATGTGTGGGCAGAACTGAAAAGGCGTGTGCGAGCAAGGAGGCCTACAAACCTGATTCAGTTACACCAGTTCTGTCAGGAGGAATGGGCCAAAATTCACCCAACTTATTGTGGGAAGCTTGTGGAAGGCTACCCGAAACATTTGACCCAAGTTAAACAATTTAAAGGCAATGCTACCAAATACTAATTGAGTGTATGTAAACTTCTGACCGACTGGGAATGTGATGAAAGAAATAAAAGCTTAAATAAATCATTCTCTCTACTATTATTCTGACATTTCACATTCTTAAAATAAAGCGGTGATCCTAACTGACCTAAGACAGGGCATTTTTACTAGGATTAAATGTCAGGAATTGTGAAAAACTGAGTTTAAATGTATTTGGCTAAGGTGTATGTAAACTTCCGACTTCAACTGTATATGGCTCCGAGACAGAATCACTTGTTTTGACATTGACATTTTACATTTGAGTAATTTAGCAGACACTCTTATCCAGAGTGACTTACAGGAGCAATTACAGTTAAGTGCACCTAGTCGACATGGTACTTAACAACTTGACCTGCTACTCAAACAGAATCCTATCTAGCAGATTGTAACGGGCTAAAGTGATGCTTTATTAGCCGTTACAGGATAGGTACAGTTTGGCATAGCACATAGAATTTTCCACCAACCTTAAAGGGATTCTCTGGTACTTTTGTATACTTTTTAGCCAGTAGTTCTGAAAGTAGCACCAACGAGCCAAAAGTGGTTCCCGAAAATTGCATTATACATCACATATGTGCAGATATGTGCACCACGTCATTGCTCTCTCTCTCGCTCTGCATGATTCTTGCTAGCTGTCACTCAAATGGTGAGGGGCTCAATCTCATTGGCTGGAACTCGAATTGCTAGGGGGCTGTCCCACGTGGGGGGAAATGTAGGGAAAATGGTGCAGAGAGTAGCGCCAAGTTAAGGTTGGTCGAAAATTCTCTGTGCTATGCCAAACAATACTATTCTGTAACGGCTAATGGAGCATCACATTAGCCCATTACAATCTGCTAGCTAACAGAATCCTAAAGTGGTACTTTAATCATTTGAAGACAAAAACAAGAAAATTGAGATAACAGAGATACTCATGCTCCAAACCTGGTAGAATCCCTATTTATAATATATGAAATATCCTTCATATGTATGTGCAGATAGCATTTTAATTAGTTCCATTTGCTCATGAGCCCTTTGATGAGAATACCTCAGAGATGCTCACATGGGCTGGTTTTGATGATGATCATGATTGATCTTCTGTACGTTTTATTTAAGGTTGCCATTAGGTTTGATGGCAAACATTCAAACTGTTCTGTCTTAGGCAATGGGCTTTTGTGCTTTTATTGGTGTTGAGAGCTTGATCAATGGTACAACCACCTTCCATATGCTTTTTTATTGTAGGTACTATTCAAGCTACAGATAATGTAGCTAAGGTACAGATAAGTGTTTTGTATCACTGACAAATGATTTAGCTTCAAGCACCATATATTTATCTCTGCTATTAATTAATTTTGCCTGGTAACCTTTATTGCTCTGGAGCTGAGGGCAAAGATCTTAAAGGTCCATTATGAATTTAAGTCCATACTAAATGGATATTAGTTCAACATTGATATTGTTGTAGGGTACTTGGGCTTTATTTTCATGACAATATGAATGATTCTCATAGATGAATCTGTATGATGGACCTTCAACATTTCATATTCAAAATCTCAATGGCCAGTGAGATGGGTAGAAAGGTAAACTCATAATAATGGATTTTTGTAGCAAGCTAAAAATCATAAATTTAAATGTTGATTGTTTTTTCCTTAGCCAGTGATCTGGCCTTCTCTGAAATTTGGGGTGATTTCACTGTTCATTGCAAGTGTGTTCATGTTAAACACACAATAATCTCCATGGTAACCCCTAATTTCTGCTTTACTAAGATTAGGATTGACATTAATAAATATGATTTATACAGATTGTCTTTGTCTAGCTTGGTTCATGGTCTGGTGGAATCCTAGAAGAAACAAATCTACTCCGACTCATGGATGATTCCAAGCAACAGATAAACAAGATATAAGCCTACATTTATTGATATAATTAAATATTCAATAAATACATATATAATTTTACAAAGAAACGTGAACAGTTTTGCTTCCTTCAGTGGCAGTGTTAAATTAAGTTGAATACAAAATTACTTAAGCCTGCTCAACTAAAAACTTGATGATAAATAGCTATCAATATTTCTCCAATACAGATTCCTCTACAGCATGGCCCTTTCAGCCAGAACACGGAAGGCCTGTATCCACAAAGACCCTCAGAGTAGGAGTGCTGATCTAGGATCAGTTTCGCCTTTTAGATCATAATGAATAAGATTATATGGACAGGGAGGACCTGATCCTAGATCAACACTCCTACTATGAGAAGCTTTGTGAATACGGGCTCTGATTCCGGGTTCTGAGATCAGCTACAAGGTGCTTTTTCCTCAGAGCACATCTTCTATGCCAGTTAAAGGTTTGTGCAGTATCTACTGATTTGGTCCCTCAACTCCAAAAACCAGACTCATTCTAATCAGACTAAAACCTTGATATGAACAGTGTCCTTATATCACACAGCATACACTGAACAGGAGGAGGACATTAAGAGCCAGGGTTCTCAGACACAGATTAATCCTGGTCCTAGACTAGATAAAATGTGTGATTAGTCCATACGGGATGGAAATTTGTCTTCTGATTTTTTCCCCAACCCCTCCCACACATATACACAAACACACATTATGTTGGAGGGCCTGGAGCAGACTAAGGCCAGGATGTTGGAGGGCCTGGAGCAGACTAAGGCCAGGATGTAATCCGAATGTGCTTCGTCTGCTAAGCACCTTTTGAAGGCAATGTTCCTGCGTTCGTGGAGATTGCATTCACGGTAAATGCTGCATATGTCGGCTCAATGGGAATTACCTGGAAATGGCGCATAGCCGACAAAGCGCTATCGGAATGAATCCTGGCCTAAAACACACTTACATAAATAACAATAATAATAATAATATGCCATTTAGCAGACGCTTTTATCCAAAGCGACTTACAGTCGTGCGTGCATACATTTTTTGTGTATGGGTGGTCCCGGGGATCGAACCCACTACCTTGGCGTTACAAGCGCCGTGCTCTACCAGCTGAGCTACAGAGGACCAATCCGAATGTGCTTCGTCTGCTCATGGGAGATTCTCCAATGAGAAGGATTTTGAATCCAGCACTAGACAATTTTAGTCTAAGAAATTGGCCATATGAGTCCTACTAAGTGTCTAACTGCTGGAACCTGCCAGTATTAGGGTTCACAGGGGTTGAAACTAAGATAAACTACTGAATCTATTACAAATAAACTCTGGATAATAGGAGCAGGTAGGTGCATAATGCAATTACTGAAATGTGATTCAAGCAGCACGTTTCTGGAGAGAAAAAAATCAGAGTGTGAGGGTCAGGTCAGCTCCACCCACAAAGCGGCAGTGGACGTTCTCTATGAATGGAAGCTGTGATTGAAGGAGCTCAACCGTTGTTAGGGAGATGTGTTTACACATGGAGATGTCCAATGTCCGCAGTCTCTTACAGTGTTGGACGAGCATGGAGAGAGACCTGTGGGAGCATGAGTTCACTGCTGTCACACACTGATATACAGATAACTTCATTTATTATTTATTACAGTCAAAGGTTCTAGTTACTCAACTTTAACAATGCTTCACTGTTTCATAGTATTGGCACAGTTTCACATTCTGTCTGTGTGTATGTTTGTGTGTGTCTCACCTATCTGTGACTGTGTTGCAGCAGGACAGGTAGAGGTGCTGCAGCCTGGCGAGGTAAGGGGCTGCACGGGCGATACCCTGGTCGCTGATGTGGGGGCAGTGGCTGAGTTCCAGGCTGGTGAGGCTGCGACAGTGGTAGGCCACCGACGCCAGGCTGTCATCACTGATCTCAGGCAACATGGCGAGAGAGAGGCGCTGGAGGTCTGGATAACGCAGCACCTGCTCACAACAACAACCGCCCGGTTAACTAGGGTTCCCCATTCAATGGACACAGGACATCAACCACTCAATCACTTTATGGAGTTTTTCCTAACCTGACCAGGAAAAACTATTGGCATTGATAATAACCTAAAACTAGGGCCAAGAGTTAATCCTGCCTCATCATAGCTCTTGGCTCTAACCATAGCCTGTATATATATTTTCATGGGAACGCCACCTGTGTGATGCTGCTGTCGGTGAGTTTGGAGCAGGCAGACAGGTCGAGGTCCTGAAGGCTCCTGAGGGCCAGCAGTGAGGCCCCCTCCTGTTCCCTGAACACCCCCAGGTCCTCGTCCGTCACCAGCCGAGGCTTCTCCTGGAAGGGCATGCTGGGAGGCCGGAAGAAACCCATGTTCCCAAAGGTACGGGTGAAGCTGGGCCCCTTGTACTCCTGCAAGGAGTCAAGGTGAGAGGTTGAAGGTCAGATAAAGGTCAGGGGAGCATGGTCGTACTAAGCTACATTGGTGGTAACTTGAATATAAGCACAGAAAAGACCAGGTAGTCTTCTTATAGCCTATTCCCAAGACTTCTACACTTTTCCCCACCCAGCCCTCTCTCACCATTTCTTTGCTTGGCTCACACTCCTTGGTGGGCTCCACCATGCCCAGCAGCCCCCAGTCTGTGATCTCCTTGCACCAGCCCAGTCGCAGAACAACCAGCCCGGGAAGGTAGGTGGCGATAGCACCCACACTCAGGTCTGTGAGGTAGATGCAGGAGGTGAGGTCCAGCTCTCTCAAACTGGAGCCCAGCAGCTGAGCCAGAGAGAACACAGCCAGGTCCTGAGAGAGAGGGGAGACAAAGGAGCATGAGGGATAATGTCCTGATAAACATTTTATTCTATAAAAGATAAATCCTGAAAGAGTCAGGTCTGGTAAAATCATAGTAATGTGAGGGAGAGAACAGCACACACACTGACCCTGATATAGGTGCAGCTCTTGAGGCTGAGGGTCTCCAGCCGTGCCCTGGGCTCCGGGGCAGAGAGCCCTTTCACTATCTCGGCCCCACTGACGTGCAGGCACTCAGACAGATCCAGGGTCCTCAGCTCCGGCAGCACCATCAGGTCAGCCAGGCCTTTATCCTTCACCCTCCAGTCCCGGGACAGAGAGAGGAGCCGGAGGCTCTTCAGGCCCAGGGCCACAGCTAGTACAGCCCGGCTGGTGAGCTCTGTGCAGGCGCTGAGGTCCAGGATCTGGAGGCCAGGCTGGTGCTTACAGAGCACCTCTACAGAGTAGTCTGTCAGCTCCTTGCAGCCCCGCAGACGCAGCTCTTCCAGAGACAGGCCCTCCACCTGGGCCACAGAGCGCAGTGACTCTGGGGTGATGCTGGTTCTGCTCAGGTCCAACCCACGCACTGTAGAGGCCTGCTCCTGCAGCAGCCTGCGGAGGTTCCGTAGGGAGAGCAGGGCAGAGGAGTCAGGCCCCACAGGGCAGCCACGGTACGGGTCAAACTCAAAGGCGATGTGGCATCCAGCCAGGGAGATACGGCGTAGTCTGGGAGTGCAGCCTGTTAGCCGGTTAAAGGTGAGGTCTGATAGGTAGCGCAGGTCAGAGAGATCCAGTTCCTTAAGATCTGCTAAAGCTACCCGAACCTAGGAAAAGGACAAACTCATTTAAAAACTGGCATGTGTAAAAAAAATAAAAAAAATAAAAAATATTTAGAAAAATCATCATCATCATCATGTCCAACCTCCAGGGTCTGACCTGCTGGCGGTGCTCCTCTCTGGACAGGAAGGCTCCAGACATGAAGAGGCTGTCCAGGCCACGGAGGTCCAGCCTGCGTAGGGCTGTCAGGTGGGGCAGCAGGGCCAGGAGGGAAGACTCGGTCACGCTGCTCCCCGGCAGGGCCAGGCTCTCCAGCCGAGGGCCCAGGTGAAGCCCTATCTCCTGCAGCATAGCCCGGGACATACTGGAGCCATCCAGGTGGCTGATGACCAGGCTGCAGCTGGAACGCCTACTCAGGCCCCGGATCAGATCCAGGGAGGAGATAGAGGCTGGGAACTTGAAGGTGAGATTTCTCTGGAAAGTGGAGTCAGAGTTAGGCTTATCCTATTTGTGAGATTGATTAAGTTAATCTCAATAAGGGGAATTGTGGAATAGAGTAGTACCTGAAATTGGAGGTCTTGGCTGGCATCATACCAGCTCCTGCAGACCAGAGAGGCTTCCTTTCTGTCTGACGCTTTGAGGAAACTCAGAATGTAGGTGATGATCTGGACAGGAAGTTAATCAGGGTTGGACCATCAGGGTATTTTACAACAGTTTATACATAGGATAAATCCATTTGAATTTAATCACTTTTTGACAGCACCCCTTTTGATTTGAATGAAACCTTCCATTCATATTTGCCCATTGTAGTGCAAAACATTCAAGAGATAAAGGTGCTCAAAGTTGATCCATTTTGCATACTATACCATGAGACATCCATGTCTTCATCACTAGAAAAGATAAACAGTTGAGATTTATAATAATTTAAAAGCTTACAAACAGGGTTGTCAAACTATTTTATAATTTCTGGAAATAAATGTTTAGTATTTTTATTTAATTTTTTATAATTTAACGTCAAATATCTAAAACGCGTAAACTCTGGGGTTTTTTCATATTCAGATATGTTGTAGCTTCGGTTGAGACACATTATATAGCTAGAGGACTCCTGATATCTCCAGGAGTGATAAGCATAAGTTTGGTCTTTATCTGCTGTTGTCTTGTACTGTCTTTTTGCTAGCTAGGGCCATCTCCTTTAAAGGTGCAATATGTCACTTTTTGGGCGACCCAACCAAATTCACATAGAAATGTGAGTAATAGATCTGTCATTCTCATTGAACGCAAGTCTAATAAGCGGTAGATATGTTCTATGTGCGCTATATCTATGCTTCCCATTCTTACGTTTAGTATTTGTGTCTTTTACTTTCGGTTTTGTACACCAGCTTCAAACAGCTGAAAATACAATATTTTTGGTTGTTGAAAATATATTTCACAGCGGTTTAGATTGTACAATGATTCTCTACACTATGCATTGCTTGTTTTGTCACATGAGCTGAAATTAGGCGAACTATTAAAATTTTTGAAAGCAGGAAAAGAAGGAGCGATTTCTGCATATTGCACCTTTAAGTGCTGCCCGTCTTCCCTGTAGCCGATTTGGTGTGTGAACTGCTGACTGCTCATAACTTGCAGATGATTGTTGACATATCAACCAGGATAAATGGGCAGGGCAATTTGTGACTGTTATCAGTGGCTGTGTTAGAGGGGGAGATGTGCTCTTCATCTTAGTAATTAGTATTAGTACTTCAGTCTCCCATGTTTTCTCAGCGGCGGCCTTGTTGCAAAACTAAGGCCGTCACCGAAATAAAGACGGTTCTGCCGAGTTGTTTGAGGAAGGAAAGAGAGGAAGCTCCACACCACTCTCTCACTAGAGTATCTTACCTAGTTATTTTCAGATGATCTCATTTTGCTATTTTGTAGCTTTGGCAACTGTGTGTTTTCTATACTTGTTTGCTTCTCTTCCTGTAGGCTTTACAGATGCTCCCCACCCCTTGGCTGCAACCTTTCTCATTTAGTGTACCCTGCGCACACAACCCATGTGGAATTCCTGGTCTATGGCAGCGTTTGGAACTGACGATCTGCAGTCAAGAACACCGAATTCATCTCAGTCTATGCTGCCCTTCAGTTCCTTGTCTTTTTGGCCCTGATGGAGACTTGGATCACCCCAGAGAACTCTGCTACTCCAGCTGCTCTCTCTTCATCTAGGTTTTTCTCTCATAGTCCGAGAGCATTTGGTCATTACGGTGGTGGTACAGGGCTACTAATTTCTCCTAAGTAGAGATTCTCTTTTCTCCCTCTCTCACCTGTCCATCTCCTCATTTGAATTCCATGCTGTCACTGTCACTTGTCCACTCAAGATTAACATTGTCATCGATCCCCCTCCAGGACTACTTACTTTGTTTCCTTTTCTGTTTCCCTCTCCTCCAACCCTAGCAACTCAGCCCCTACCCAGATGGTCATGCACCGTCACAATCTTCGCTCGCTCTCCCACTACTCTATCCTCTTCTATTCTATCGTCTCTCCCTTCTGCTAAATCCTTCTCCTCCTGTCTCTACGTTTTCGACCCTACTCTCCTCCTCCCTTTACGCATCCTATGACTCGCACTGTCCCCTTTCCTCCCAGCCGGCTCGTCCCTGCCCTCCTGCTCCGTGGCTGAGTGACTCATTGCGAGCTTACAGAACAGGGCTGCGGGCAGCTGAGCAAAAATGGAGGAAAACTAAACTTCCGGAGGACCTATCATCCTTTCACTCCCTCCTCTCTACGTTCTCTTCCTCTGTATCCGCTGCTAAAGCCACTTTCTAACACTCTAAATGTCAAGCTTCTGCCTCTAACCATAGGAAACTATTTTCCTCCTTCTCCTCCACCCCCTCCTTCTCTGCGGACGACTTTGTCAACCACTTTGAAAAGAAGGTTGACGAAATCCGCTCCTCATTCACTCAGCCTACTGAGTCCACTGGGCCCACTCACACAGAACTACCCTACGCCCTGACCTTTATCTCCCCTCTCTCGCCAGATGAAATCCTGCGATTAGTGAAGTCCGGCCGCCCGACAACCTGCCTGCTCGACCCCATCCCCTCCTCCAAACCATCTCTGGAGACCTTCTCCCTTTCCCTCATCCCTGACTGACCACTGGCTGTGTCCCCTGACTTTAAAATGTCCCAAGTCGCTCCCCTCCTCAAGAAACCAACACTTGTGTCACAGCCGGCCGTGACTGGGAGCCCCATAGGGCGATGCACAATTGGCCCAGCACTGTCTGGGTTGGGGGAGGGTTTGGCCGGGGGGGCTTTCCTTGGCTCATCATGTTCTAGCAACTTCTTGTGGCGGGCTGGGCGCTTGCAAGTTGACTTTGGTCGTCAGTCGAACTGTGTTTCCTCCGACACATTGGTGCGGCTGGATTCTGGGTTAAGCGAGCAGTGTGTTAAGAAGCAGCGCGGCTTGGCGGGTCATGTTTCGGAGGACGCATGTCTCGACCTTCGCCTCTCCCGAAAGCATTGGGTAGTTGCAGCGATGAGACAAGATCGTAACTACCAATTGGATATCACGAAATTGGGGAGAAAAATGGGGGGGGGGGAAATAATAAACCAACACTCTACTCCTCTGACGTCAAACTACAGACCGGTATCCCTTTTCTTTTCTTTCCAAAACACTTGAGCGTGCGGTCTCTGACCAACTCTCTCGCCATCTCTCTCAGAACGTTCTTCTTGACCCTAATCAGTCAGGCTTCAAGACGGGTCACTGCTCGTCTATCTGCCACGGAGGCTCTCTGCAATGCCAAAGCTGAATCTCTCTCTGTCTCTCTGTGTGTCTGTTCTCATCCTCATAGATCTATCCGCTGCCTTCAACACCGTGAACCATCAGATCCTCCTCTCCACCCTCAGGGCTGGGCGTCTCAGGCTCTGCACACTCTTGGATTGCATCCTACCTGGCAGGCCGCTCCTACCAGGTGACATGGAGAGGAATCTTTGCCTGCACCACGTACTCACACTACTGGTGTCCCCCAGGGCTCGGTTCTAGGTCCTCCTCTTCTGTCTATACATAAAGTCACTCGGCTCAGTCATATCCTCTCATGGTCTCTCCTGTCATTGCTATGCTGATGACATCTACTTTTCTCCTCCCTCCCCCCCAACTCTGGATAAGAGCGACTGCTAAATGACTAAAATGTAAATGTAACATGCTCTTGAATACAGGGTGGGTGTCATGTTTTGGCTGATAAATGTACTAGAATGGGTATAACATTTAAATTTAAACTTTCAAATGGTACCACAATGATGGTGGAGGGCCACACATCAGAGAATGTTAACTTGAATGGGAATATGTTTTAAGTTATAGTTGAAGTCAGAAGTTTACATACACCTTAGCCAAATACATTTAAACTCAGTTTTTCACAATTCCTGACATTTAATCCTAGTAAAAAGTCCCTGTCTTAGGTCAGTTAGGATCACCACTTTATTTTAAGAATGTGAAATGTCAGAATAATAGTAGAGAGAATGATTTATTTCAGCTTTTATTTCTTTCATCACATTCCCCGTCGGTCAGAAGTTTACATACACTCAATTAGTATTTGGTAGCATTGCCTTTAAATTGTTTAACTTGGGTCAAACGTTTCGTGTAGCTTTCCACAAGCTTTTGGCTCGTTGGTGCTACTTTCAGAACTACTGGCTAAAAAGTATACAAAAGTACCAGAGAATCCCTTTAAGGTTGGTGGAAAATTCTATGTGCTATGCCAAACTGTACCTATCCTGTAACGGCTAATAAAGCATCACTTTAGCCCGTTACAATCTGCTAGATAGGATTCTGTTTGAGTAGCAGGTCAAGTTGTTAAGTACCATGTCGACTAGGTGCTCAAGGGTCGATGTGCCCTTGAGCAAGGCACTTAACTGTAATTGCTCCTGTAAGTCACTCTGGATAAGAGCGTCTGCTAAATTACTCAAATGTTAAAATGTAAATGTCAAAACAAGTGATTCTGTCTCAGAGCCATATACAGTTGAAGTCGGAAGTTTACATACACCTTAGCCAAATACATTTAAACTCAGTTTTTCACAATTCCTGACATTTAATCCTAGTAAAAATTCCCTGTCTTAGGTCAGTTAGGATCACCACTTTATTTTAAGAATGTGAAATGTCAGAATAATAGTAGAGAGAATGATTTATTTCAGCTTTTATTTCTTTCATCACATTCCCAGTGGGTCAGACGTTTACATACCCTCAATTAGTATTTGGTAGCATTGCCTTTAAATTGTTTACCTTGGGTCAAACGTTTCGGGTAGCCTTCCACAAGCTTCCCACAATAAGTTGGGTGAATTTTGGCCTATTCCTCCTGACAGAGCTGATGTAGCTATTTATCCACAACTTTGGAAGTATGCTTGGGGTCATTGTCTATTTGGAAGACCCATTTGCGACCAAGCTTTAACTTCCTGACTGATGTCTTGAGATGTTGCTTCAATATATCCACATAATTTTCCTTCCTCGTGATGCCATCTATTATGTGAAGTGCACCAGTCCCTCCTGCAGCAAAGCACCCCCACAGCATGATGCTGCCACCCCCGTGCTTCACGGTTGGGATGGTGTTCTTCGGCTTGCAAGCAACCCCCTTTTTCCTCCAAACATAACAATGGTCATTATGGCCAAACAGTTCTATTTTTGTTTCATCAGACCAGAGGACATTTCTCCAAAAAGTACAATCTTTGTCCCCATGTGCAGTTGCAAACCGTGGTCTGGATTTTTTATGGCGGTTTTGGAGCAGTGGCTTCTTCCTTGCTGAGTGGCCTTTCAGGTTATGTCGATATAGGACTTGTTTTACTGTGGATATAGATACTTTTGTACCTGTTTCCTCCAGCATCTTCCCAAGGTCCTTTGCTGTTGTTCTGGGATTGATTTGCACTTTTCGCACCAAAGTACGTTCATCTCTAGGAGACAGATCGCATCTACTTCCTGAGCGGTATGACGGCTGCGTGGTCCCATGGTGTTTATACTTGCGTACTATTGTTTGTATAGATGAATGTGGTACCTTCAGGCATTTGGAAATTGCTCCCAAGGATGAACCAGACGTGTGGAGGTCTGCAATTTCTTTTCTGAGGTATTGGCTGATATCTTTTGATTTTCCCATGATGTCAAGCAAAGAGGCACTGAGTTTGAAGGTAGGTCTTGAAATACATCCACAGGTACACCTCCAATTGACTCAAATGATGTCAATTAGCCTAGCAGAAGCTTCTAAAGCCATGACATCATTTTCTGGAATTTTTCAAGCTGTTTAAAGGCACAGTCAATTTAGTGTATGTAAACTTCTGACCCACTGGAATTGTGATACAGTGAATTATAAGTGAAATAATCTGTCTGTAAACAATTGTTGGAAAAATTACTTGTGTCATGCACAAAGTAGATGTCCTAACCGACTTGCCAAAACTATAGTTTATTAACAAGAAATGTGTGGAGGGTTGAAAAACGAGTTTTAATGACTCCAACCTAAGTGTATGTAAACTTCCGACTTCAACTGTATATTGTCAATCCTCCAAAAGAAACCTATTGAAATATAGATAACAGAATAGACATGACCATTGAAGTTGACAAGTGGACCGGCGGTCATCTTTATGGTAATAATTAAAGTAAAAATGTACATTTAATGTACCAGCTAAATGTCAGTAGTCTGAAATGATAGGTCCATTCTATTTATGATTGAAATGACACCCACCCTGTATTCAAGAACATGTCTCAGCCGATGGCGGGTACAACAAAAACCTCCGATTTGAAATTGTGTCCAAGCTACAACAAATGCAAAAATCAATTGAGAATTTACGTTAAAGGTTTAAAAATGACTATTAGACCATTTTTTTCAAGAAATAGTTTAACAACACTGTAAGCTTTTAAATTATAAACTCAACCGTTCATCTTTTCCAGTGATGAAGACATGGATGTCTCATGGTATGGTGGGTTATGCAAAATGGGTCCTTGAGGACCTTTATCACTAGCCCAATAATGGACTAAAGGAGCCTAACGTTACTCCTTATAGTCCAAGGACCTTACATGTTCTGTTTAAAGCCAAAACAGCCAAATACTCCATCTAAACGTGAATCGATTCTCAATTGAGGTATGGTTCTAGAAACATAAATCCCTCAACTTTCATATCAAAATAAAAAAACTTGTCAATTTCACAAATACTAAATACACACTTACTGTACACTGTTTTAACCGGTTTTAACAGTTGCAGCCAACAGTATTTTTCAGTGACATGTTTGTGGCCTCAATCTTTTGTTAATACACAGGTGTTCAGAGAAGCAGATAGCTAATTAGCACAGGTAACTCTGTTTTCCATAAACAAGCGCTGTAACATGGAAATATGGCGGTGTGGGAACCCTAAACCTAACCCTATAAAAAGGTGTGTATTAATTAAACCTTTCTGTTTTTTGACAATTATTTATCGCTGATGTGAAAGATAAGGTTCTTATGCTTCCAAAACCATACCGCAAGCTATAGATTATAATGTTCAGACCGAGCGTCTGGGCTCTTAACAAAACTCCCCCATACAGAATATGCCTTTGTCCAACGACTCTTGTGTAATGTAATGGAACTGAGAGTCATGATCAAGGGCTACTTTACCTCCTGAATGTTTTGGCATTCAGGTCCAAAAAGTAACTTTCTGACCACTTCTTCCATGGGCAAACATGTATGGAAAGTTTTCATTTTATTATCAACATGGTAACATATATCAAGTTGTCAAGACACCCAAAGCATTGACAACCACATCATTGACAGACTGGCAATTTTAGCAATGAAGCAGGCTACTAGCCTATTAGTCTTACCTCAAGAGGTAACTCAGGCGTTTCCATGGTTATTTCACTGATCCCAAGTCATATCCTTGAATTACACGATTGAGTTTAGTCCTTTATAGCTACAACATCAACGTTCTGTCAACTAACGTTACCGGTAGCTAACGTTAGCTAGCTAGCGTCCTCATTGGCTAGTTAATCATTAATGTTAGCTCTTGAGAGTTTCATTCATTCAGGTCCCAATCAGACCTGGTTCGCCAAGTTGACCTCCGTTGATATTGTTGACATTTTCTCACTTCAACAACAGTAATTTCATTTAGAGAACGAAGAAGATGTCAGCACCCTCTTTACTTTGCAATGTAGATGGTCCATCAGCTGACTGCAGATCAAAACAAACACTCTGACGTCACACTAAAACCGAGGGGCTCTCTGGGTGACGTAGTTGTTCACTGCTTTATTGTTTTATTTTCTCTGCATCATTTTCAGACTCACATCAAATATTGTCTATTATATTGACAAGATAGTCAAGTGACCGAAATACATGTCCTCCATAGAGATCCTATTAAATTACTAGAGGGGCTATGTCATAAACCCTCAAAGGAGATAGGGCCGGCAACTAGGGCTTAGTTTATAAGGATATATACAGATGGTTCAAAGGATCCAGTCAGTGGTAGGGTGGGGGCAGGGGTGTATATCCCAGATCTTTGGCAAAGGGAGTAGGATGCTAGTAGTAAGGGGAGGCAATTTTATCGCATGCACCGGTCAGTAATGAATGGCCTCACACTCCAGTACAGTAGGTGGCGGTGTATGCACTTTAAAAGTTGGAGGCGATCCACCAACCCAATCCCAAAGAAGAAGAAGAAGCGCCACCGCACCCAACCCCCACAAATTCCTTGTTTTACTAAATTCGCTATATTGTACATTGCTCTCTGTTACTATTGTTTGTATGTTAATTAGCACATTGATGCCAATAGCTAGGTTTCCATCCAATTGGGGACAGATTTTCATGCGAATATTCTCAAATCCACATACAAACAATATGTGCACTTTCCCAGCAGAGATTTTTCCATCAAATTGACTTGTTGATAAAAGGCTGTGCGTGTCGATGTAGTGCACATAAAAATACATTTTGCGGAATAAATGTACCGAATAAAAAATACAAGTTAAATGGGTTTCCATCGCATTTTCAACGCTACTAGTGATTTATTCCCCAAAATGTTTTCATTATATAGCGAGTGTGCACACTCTGGCATTGACACCTGCGCACTAGCCAACAGCTCGCAGATACAGTGCATAGCCTACATCATGACATTATTATGGACAAAAGAGCGAAATTATTTGTATTTGTCAAACGGCAAGCATTGATGATCCTGACACCAGAATAAGACCGTCGACATGTATTGGAAAGGAGCATAAAGCTCATCGCCTTGCACTTTCACCACCCTGTGAAGTTCATCATCATTTATTTCAGCTGTAGCCTAATAAACTGCATGCTTTTCCGTCGAGTCGCAGTGGGAGGACCACTCGTCATCGCGTGACTAAGTTTACTTCGATATGATAGTTTTTATATCAATATTTGCGCATAAAAACGTTTCCACCGACATTTCTCTCATTATTATTTTTACCAACACAAAAAGAACATCCTGTCTAGTGTATATATATTTTTTCAACATTTGGAAAGTTTACTGACAAATGTTCTGTTTCCATCAGGCCTGTCATTACATTTTTTTAAATCCGACAAGTACTTTACTCGCATAAAAGGGTTGGATGGAAACCTTGTTAATTTTAGCTTCAATACAAGGCAATTTGAAAAACCTAAAAAGTAGATTGTGCTGATTTATTGGCGCATTGAACCATGTCGCGCGCCGTAGTTTAAAAACTCAGTGGCTAGCCAGTGGATAGTGGAGATGGAGTATGCAGGTGGGTGTTTGGAAGGGCAAAGTGGAATCAGTTTCAGGAGCAGGTCATGGCTTGGTGGATATGAGAGGGGATGTGGATAGTATGAATAACTGGGTGAGAACAGCGTTAGTGGGGGCAGCTACTGAGGCTATACCTAAGAGTTCAGGGAGGAGGAGGAGGAAAGCAGTCCCATAGTGGACGGAGGAATGTGGGGCAATGGTGAGGAGTAGGAACAGGGCATTTAGAGTACTGAAAAGGACACATAACTTCCAATATCTGATTCAGTATAAGCAGGCCCAGACCATGGTGAGGAGAACTAGCCGTCAGGCAAAGAGGTAATGTTGGCATCGGTTCTGTGACACCATTGGAAGGGCGACACCTGTGGGAGAAGTGTGGGGGATGATTAAGAGGATGAGTGGGGTCAGAAGAGAGTGGGATTATCCAGTGTTGACGAGTGGGGAGGATGTGGCAGTAACAGATGAGGAGAAAGCAGAGATGATGGCCAAAGCATTTGTCCAAGTGCATAGCTCCGCAAACATGTCAGAGGAGGGGCAGAGGGGGAGAGAGAACACGAGAGAGGAGCATCCTGGAGTGCTGGATAGGAGGGAGGATGTAAATGATGCGTTGAGTGCACCATTTACCAGGGCAGAGGTGAAAAGAGCAATAGGTAAGGGTGGGTTAACTTCACCTGGGAAAGATGAGGTGTGCTATGTTATGTTGGCTCATCTTAGTGATGAGGCACTGGATACAGAGGGTAGTGCGTACGGCCCAGTACATCACTGGGGCCAAGCTTCCTGCCATCCAGGACCTCTATACCAGGCGGTGTCAGAGGAAAGCCCTCAAAATTGTCAAAGACTCCAGCCACCCTAGTCATAGACTGTTCTCTCTGCTACCGCATGGCAAGCGGTACCGGAGTGCCAAGTCTAGGTCCAAAAGACTTCTCAACAGCTTCTACCCCCAAGCCATAAGACTCCTGAACAGCTAATCATGGCTACCCGGACTATTTGCACTGCCCCCCCACCCCATCCTTTTACGCTGCTGCTACTCTGTTAATTATTTATGCATAGCCACTTTAACTCTGCCCACATGTACATATTACTTCAACTACCTCAACTAGCCGGTGCCCCCCGCACATTGACTCTGCACCGGTACCCCCCTGTATATATAGCCTCCCTACTGTTATTTTATTTTACTTCTGCTCTTTTTTTCTCAACACTTTTTTTGTTGATGTTTTATTTTTACTTTTTTGTTAAAAATAAATGCACTGTTGATTAAGGGCTGTAAGCATTTCACTGTAATGTCTGCACCTGTTGTATTCGGCGCATGTGGCCAATAAAATTTGATTTGATTTGGTAAGGTATTGGTGTTGTACAACAGAGTGTGGGAGGAGGGGAAACTACCAGGCAGTTGGAAGGAGGCAGTAGTGGTACCAATCCGGAAGCCCAGGAAGGATCCAACGAAGCCAACAAGCTATCGGCCAATAGCTTTAACATCACATGTATGTAAGATTATGGAACGCATGATTACGGAGAGGCTAACTTACTTCCTGGAGAGCAGAGGGCTAGTATCGCCCACATCAGAGTGGGTTCAGGAAGGGTAGGGGAACTATGGATCCAGTGCTCTGCTTAGAAGCAGAAGTCAGGAAGGCTCAGGTGAACAAGGAGACTGTTGTAGCTGTCTTTTTTGATGTGGAGAAGGCGTATGATATGATGTGGAAGGAGGGGTTGTTAATCAAGCTTGATATTATGGGGGTAGGAGGAAGACGGTATAACTGGATAAAGGATTTCCTGTTTGGAAGGTCTATCCAGGTGAGGATGGGGAAGTCTTTATCAGGCAGATACTTGGTGGATAACTGTACACTACAGGGGAACGTGATTAGTCCTTTGTTGTTCTCATGATCAATGATGTTTACACTCAGGTACAGCCGGATATAGGGAGGTCGTTATTTGCAGATGATGGGGCCTTATGGAAGAGGGGAAGAAATGTGCCATACATCGTCAGGAAGGTACAGGAAGCAATTGATGAGGTAGAGCGGTGGGCATTAATGTGGGGATTCAGGTTATCTGTAGAGAAAACTCAAACAGTGTTCTTTACCAGGAGGAAGGTGGGAGATGAGGTATGCTTGAGGTTATATGGGAGAAACTTGGAGAGGGTGGGGGCCTTCAGGTTCCTTGGAGTATACTTTGACACTAGACTGACCTGGGCAGAACACATTGAGAGAGTGGTGGGAAAGTGTAAGAAGGTGCTAAATGTGATGCGCTGTCTGACGGGGAAGTTGTGGGGGGCTGGGCGTTCCTCATTGAAGACCATGTATGTTGCATTGATCCGATCTGTATAGCATATGGATCGGCAGTCCGGACCTCACTGGAAAGGCTAGATGTCATACAGGGGCAAGGACTCAGAATATGTAGTGGGGCGTTTCGGACGTCCCCAGTGGCTACATTACAGGTGGAGATGGGGGATATGCCATTGCAGATTAGGAGACAGCAGCTGGCAATTAATTATTGGGTCAATTACTGGGATTTTACAGGCATGCTGGGAACATGAGCGAAGACAGAACACGAGCTTTGGGTGGGTGGGTAATACCCAGGCGAAGGAGATGGGACTGTATGGAAGGGAGTTTAGTCCAACAGTAGTTATTCCTGTAAATCCACCATGGCTACTCCCGCCTCCAGTAGATCTAGAAGTGTTGGAGAGACTACAGAAAGATAGGAAGGGTGTTGATCCATCTGATTTCTTTAAGAGACGTCTGGAAATGGTGTATCAGGATTTTGTGGCCATTTACACAGATGGTTCAAAAGATCCAAGGACAGGACGTACTGGGTCAGCATTTGTAGTGCAGGAATGTGGGGTGGAAGTCAGAAAACATATTACAGATCATCTGGCTGTATATACGGCAGAGCTGATGGCCATACTGTTGGCCTTGCAGTGGGTGGAGGAAGTCAAACAAGACAGAGTAGTTATTTGCTCTGAATCATGTGCAGTGTTAATGAGTCTCCAGTCCTTTAGCCCATGTAGTAGACAAGACCTGCTTCATGAGGTGCTACAAACCCATGGCAGGATTAAACAGATGGGTATTCAGATAAGATTTACTTGGGTCCCAGCCCATGTGGGGGTGGAGGGGAACAAGCCAGTAGATGAACAGGCTAAACAAGCACTTAGTAGTGGGGATGTTGAAGTTTCAATGAGCAAGGCAGAGGCAAAAAGACTGATACAGTGAGGGAAACAAGTATTTGATCCCCTGCTGATTTTGTACGTTTGCCCACTGACAAAGACATGATCAGTCTATAATTTTAATGGTAGGTTTATTTGAACAGTGAGAGACAGAATAACAACAAAAAAATCCAGAAAAACGCATGTAAAAAATGTTATAAATTGATTTGCATTTTAATGAGGGAAATAAGTATTTGACCCCTCTGCAAAACATGACTGAGTACTTGGTGGCAAAACCCTTGTTGGCAATCACAGAGGTCAGACGTTTCTTGTAGTTGGCCACCAGGTTTGCACACTTCTCAGGAGGGATTTTGTCCCACTCCTCTTTGCAGATCTTCTCCAAGTCAGATTTTCTATGGGATTAAGGTCTGGAGACTGGCTAGGCCACTCCAGGACCTTAATGTGCTTCTTCTTGAGCCACTCCTTTGTTGCCTTGGCCGTGTGTTTTGGGTCATTATCATGCTGGAATACCCATCCACGGCCCATTTTCAATGCCCTGGCTGAGTGAAGGAGGTTCTCACCCAAGATTTGACGGTACATGGCCCCGTCCATCGTCCCTTTGATGCGGGGAAGTTGTCCTTTCCCCTTAGCAGAAAAACACCCCCAAAGCATAATGTTTCCACCTCCATGTTTGACGGTGGGGATGGTGCTCTTGGGGTCATAGGCAGCATTCCTCCTCCTCCAAACACGGCGAGTTGAGTTGATGCCAAAGAGCTCGATTTTGGTCTCATCTGACCACAACACTTTCACCCAGTTCTCCTCTGAATCATTCAGATGTTCATTGGCAAACTTCAGACAGGCCTGTATATGTGCTTTCTTGAGCAGGGGGACCTTGCGGGCGCTGCAGGATTTCAGTCCTTCACGGCGTAGTGTGTTACCAATTGTTTTCTTGGTGACTATGGTCCCAGCTGCCTTGAGATCATTGACAAGATCCTCCCGTGTAGTTCTGGGCTGATTCCTCACCGTTCTCATGATCATTGCAACTCCACGAGGTGAGATCTTGCATGGAGATTGACAGTTCTTTTTTGTTTCTTCTTTTGCGAATAATCGCACCAACTGTTGTCACCTTCTCACCAAGCTGCTTGGCGATGGTCTTGTAGCCCATTCCAGCCTTGTGTAGGTCTACAATCTTGTCCCTGACATCCTTAGAGAGCTCTTTGGTCTTGGCCATGGTGGAGTTTGGAATCTGATTGATTGATTGCTTCTGTAGACAGGTGTCTTTTATACAGGTAACAAACTGAGATTAGGAGCACTCCCTTTAAGAGTGTGCTCCTAATCTCAGCTCGTTACCTGTATAAAAGACACTTGGGAGCCAGAAATCTTTCTGATTGAGAGGGGGTCAAATACTTATTTCCCTCATTAAAATGCAAATCAATTTATAACATTTTTGACATGTCTTTTTCTGGATTTTTTTGTTGTTATTCTGTCTCTCACTGTTCAAATAAACCTACCATTAAAATTATAGACTGATAATTTATTTGTCAGTGGGCAAACGTACAAAATCAGCAGGGGATCAAATACTTTTTCCCCTCACTGTATATACAGTGATGGTGCAGAGATGGCAGGATCAGTGGAATAGAGATAATAAGGGAAGGCATTTATTTCAAGTACAGAGGAAAGTTGTTTTTTACCAGATTAAGGGTGGGACACAGCCAGTTGAAAAATACATTAAATGTGATAGGAAAGCATCCAATAGGGAAGTGTGATTATTATCAGGAAACAGAGACCTTGGAGCATGTATTGCTACAGTGTGGGCAGTATCAGAGGGAAAGAGAGAGGATGAAATCTAGTATGAGGGAGAAGGGGATACAGGAAATTAGTTTAAAGAGTATATTGAGTAGAACGTCATTAGATATAGTCTCAAATATTTTGTTATCTTTTTTAAGAGCAACAGGACTGGCAGGGAGGATTTAGTTTATCCCGGTCTCTGGCCCACACTCCAGTGCAGTAGGTGGCTGAAATGCACCATAACGTTGGATGCCAACCGCCGATAACCCCCACTGAAGAAGAAGTGGATAGTGGAAAAAACAATGAAGTCATATCTGAATTCTGAAATCTTCATGCACGTTTGCAGTAAAAGCATTATCCTGATTTTACTTATTCAGGAAAATAAAAGTAACGCATGTGATATACCAGAAATTGTTTAATAGAATTGTCAACCTAAAATATTGTCATATAATTATAAATAGGCCTACCGTTTATACAGGTTTAATATACATTTTCTGTATGAATAGCCTCTAAAATATGTAAACAGAACATCAATGTCTTAATGTTCGTTTTCTTGGAAAGCTGTGAGTGCTATTAGGCTATATGATACAATATCAGTACTATTCAGTAGTATGCTAATTCTAATCAGTTTTACTAAACTGGAAATTGTAGAAATTAAGGTAAACGGGTGTATAAATTCAAACTGATTTGTTTGCGAGTCAATTTTTGTCCTCTTTAATTACGAATGAGTCTGGCTTCAGTTTGCGATTTCCTTCGTTGTCTCTTCCGCCAAAGTGCAACTGCAAATCAAACCACACCTTATTCAGTAATCCTCTAGGGGTGGCGGGGCTCAAGGATTCGGACTCGCGGAGGATTTGTAGGTCCTGCTGTGTTATTAGCTGGGTAGTAGCTGGTTCTGTCCCTGCCCTCCCTTCTCCGCGAGTTTATGATACCAGCAAAGACGTTGTTTGAGTTCAGGAAGTCAGTATCTCTAATCAGGCACCAAGACCGGCTCAGTAGGGGCTCATTTAAGTGGCGGTTTAGGCCTGCCCGCAGTCCACCAAAGCTGCTGACTCCATATCGGACTCCTTTAGCAGTCCTTGCGGTGGCGTAGAAACTCCGGAGAATATTACCCATATCCTGTTTTGAAACAGTTGCCAGATCGAGGTTTATCCCCTTTTCTGACAGCCATTCCAGAAAGCACTTCACTGCCCAGTTGGTTAGTCTTGATGTAACTTTTTCATTTCTCTCTTTTTCTATGTCGTCTCAGCGCTACTGATTTCTGCATGTCTAACGTTATCGCTAGGCTCAGGTTGCTGGTCCTCTTGCTCTTCTTGTTTCATTTCTCTCATATCCTCCTCTTCTTGTTGGCACCATTCTTCAAACGTTAGTGGATAAAACAAATCAAATGTCACTTTAAAATCATCCATGACGAGTTACAGGTGCTAAGACTAGTTTTTATTATTATTATTTGTGCCAAGACTAGTAGTTGTAAAAGTAGTAGTGGGTTGCTAAGTAACGACGTAAACTGTGCCACTTTACATGAACGTGGCCATGTGTAGGTTGTCTCATATCATGGGCAGGAGATAATTAAACAGAATCCACAAAAACATCAAACATTATCATGGTGACATCAATGCATTCAGATTTGCTCCATATAGACGGGTTGGTTGTTTAGCAACAAAACCGACGCCTGCGCAACTATGGGGCAAAACAGATGGGGTTGGCTTAGATTGTTGACAACACGTAAACTATATTTTGTCATTAATGTTAATTGAAAACATACATACATTTGCACAATGAGCACTTGTTGTCTCTCAAATACATCTTAACTGTTGTTGGTTAACTAAGTAGCGAATTTGAGCCATATTAGCATTGACATGAAATCAGTCAAAACACCTCAAAACGAGACATGGCATCAAGAACAAGATTAAACTAGCTGAAACGAGTCACTTGCGATACACACATGGCAGTTTATTGTCATTGTTGGTAGATACCTGGCGATCCAGAATCACAACAACTCATGGACTTCTGCCCAATTGAAGCGTGAACATCGTTTTCGTGAAGTTGCCAGCTAACCCATCTATTAAAAGCAGGTGAATCACACTTTTTTTTTCTCAGCATCTTTTGCATGCCAGCTTTTGTCACCTACACCATACATACCATATACACAAAGAAGGTAGTCAACAACCAACATAACAATATTCACATACAATCTACAGATTGTCTGGCAGTTTCGGTAGCTGGTTGTTAGACCCTATGTATTCCATTGGTGAATTTAGGATCTATACAATTATGTTAAACCTTGCATTGCTTCCTGAAAAACTACATACAAGGGATGAAGTATTACCCTGTAAAAACTCGTAAAATACACCTCCCCCCATGTACAATGTATTTACAAACTTTTGAAAACAGCATTTGGTTAACAGTATGGTAAAAAAAAGTATATGAAACAGATAACAAAACCTCTTAACTTAAAAACATGTACTATACATGTATAAATTGTGGACATGAGTCGTCTTCTGATCTGTTAAGTTAGTAAAAAAAAAAAAAAAAAAAATGTTTAAACACCCATCATGTCAAAAGCTGTTGTAACTATTGTCATTTGTTCAGCTAACTTCAAAATTATTTTGTAAGCTATAGCTAGCTGCCTATTAAAAGTAAATATTTGATTGTCTGGCATGGTGAACTCATGATTGACAGTTTACCAGTCTTGATTAAATGATTAGCTGCACTTCTACCTTTCTGCAAACAAAACAATATGTACATTGACAAGCTGACCTTTATTAAAAGTGTACACTTTTCAACATTTCAGATGAAAAATATATACATCCTCGACCCATTCACCCCAGAAACACTAAACACTATCTCAAGGGCCATGAAAAATAAGGCAATAATAACATTCCATTGAACTAAACTATAAATAACTGGTCATCTTTACAAAACGTAAACATTTCAAAATCTTTTCTCAGATTCCAACATTTTTATATTATTTCCCATTCACATTTTTCCCTTCGCTGAATGAATATATATAAAAAGGAATAAAATGAAAAAACTAGGGTTTAGCACAACTAAACAACTGTGGGAAGCATTGGAGTCAACATGGGCCAGCATCCCTGTGGAATGCTTTCGACACCTTGTAGAGTCCATGCCCTGACGAATTGAGGCTGTTCTGAGGGCAAAAGGGGGGGGGGGGGGTGAACTCAATATTAGGAAGGTGTTCCTAATGTTTGGTATACTCAGTGTACTTCACAAGTATCAAGAGCCCCCTGTAGCTCAGTTGGTAGAGCATGGCGCTTGCAACGCCAGGGTTGTGGGTTCGTTTCCCACGGGGGGCCAATATGAAAATGTATGCACTCACTAACTGTAAGTCGCCCTGGATAAGAGCGTCTGCTAAATGATTAAAATCTAAAATCATAGCTAAAAGAAGAGTCTATGGGTATAAAGGAACAGGAACTGTGACTCCTGAGACATAATTGGATGATCTTTAGGAACCATGGCTCTTCTCTCTGGTCTCCCTCTCTGCAGCAGAGTACAGAGGGACAACCAAGTGCATCCCTTTCTCCACATGAAGACAGCTTTTGGAGACAACTCATGGCTTTCTCTTTTCCTTCCTCTTCCCACTTTCTCCTGCCTCTTCTCCCTCCACTTGGTCCTGCTCCCTGGAGAGTGTCTCATCTCGGTGACAATGGGAGACGGGGTGGAGCAGTGTGGAGCTGTCTAAGGTTGGTGACATGGCGTTAGCCTCGAGCTCTGGGTCCAGACTGGAGACTGGGGACAGGGGAGGGGAGGAGGGCTGTGGGAAAACGGGGAGGTTAGCTCACTGTTTGTGTGTAGATAATGTGGGTGTTTTTGTACAGCAAATGCCATACCTGTAGAGAAACGCTGGATTTGTTGATCTTCTCCTTAAACTTGGTGAGGGTCCCTTTGAGGCCTGTTTTCTGATGCGCCATCTCCAGAGCAGCTTTGAGTAGCTTGGGCGTCACCGTTCGAGGAGGGATCACCTGGGCCGGCTCCTTCGGAGGCTCTGGAGGCTTCTTGTCTTTCGTGAGCATCTTCCTGTTGCCGGAAACATCAAATAATCACAAATTCTTATACACTCTAAAAATGGTGAACTTCGAGACACCCAGAAATTAATAGTAGTCTTTATTCCCCTCTCTAACCTGGCCTTCTTGCGGAGCAGCTTCTGGGACTCGGGGTAATGCACTAGAATCTCATTGAGGTCCTTCTTGTCCAGGATGAACAGGTTGGCGAAGCCATGAGCCACCACGTTCGCTGTTCTCCTGTTCCCTCCACCCACTGCCAGCAAGCTTTCAACCCAAAGAGAAGAAATCCAACTAGAAAAAGTACATTTCCTGAAGAAAATGTGTGCTTGCTTCTGTGAAACAAAGAGCATACGTCAGACCTGACCTCACCTGATTTCCCCAAACACTGACCCCGCCCTCAGCGTGACAAACACAGTCTTCCCGTCTGGCCCGCCCACCACCTGCACCTCCCCGGCCTTGATGATGTACATTTCCCGTCCAACCTCGCCCTGAAACACAGAGCGACAGTCAGACAACTGGACATCTCCTGCTCTTAACAGTTTACCTTACACAAAGAAGGCGCAGAGTGCATACAAACTGCACATTAAATATATTCAAACAGAGAAGCACGCTCGCACACACACGTATGCACACACGCAGACACAAACAAGCTAGAGAGGTGGCACAGCTACCGCATCTTGCTTTACCCTTTACCTTTTTGCAGACATAGTCCCCTGGGAGGTAAACAACAGACCTCAGTCTCTTCAGCATGTCAAAGATCATCTGTCTATCGCAACCCTGAGAGGGAGAAGTAGGGCTGAGTGAGAAATACAGAGAGATAGAGCTCGTCAAATCTTCTGTGGGCTGAGACAGCCTGAAGAGGCCCTAAGACTTACGCACCTGGAAGAGAGACACTTTACTGACAATGTCATAGTTGACATCCACAGCGATGTCCAGCCTCATCTTGTCTGGGAGCTGGACCAGAAGCTCCTGTTCATCTGTATAGAGACAGACACAAATAGAGAGTAAACACAACACAATGCAACAAAATGCAACACAACACAACAACACTACACAGCACAAAATGACATGTGCCTACCCAGCATGCCCTGGGACTGCCAGGTGTAGTTGTACCAGGTTTTGACCCGGTTCTGCACGTCTTTAGGGATACGGTAGGAGGCCATGTATTTGACAGTGTTGTCCATGCATGCTCTGTAGTACGTCTGTCCTGCTGTGGCTGCACCAACCACGTCTCTCATCTGCAAGAGACGGTCATTGGCCAATCAGGAGTTGACACCAATCACAACAGCCAACAGTATAATTAGCTTATAATAGCACAAATGTTCAGATAAGGATTCAGAGCTAGATAACAAGTAGTAGTCCTATCAATCAACAAATATCAACACATCTAGATATTTCATCCATAAACACACTATCATATTTTACATTCTACACTCTCTCAAACACAGCTATTGGTGATGTGGTAACCAACCTGTCCAATCATGATGGAAAAGGCAAACACTCCAACAAAGTAGTTGATGAGCTGAAAGATGATTTCAAAGAGCGTTGTGGGGTCTGGCAGCCCACCAATGGTGATTAGGGTCTTCACAGCAAAGTAGTAGCAGCGGATGTAACTGAAAAACATGATTACAGGGACAATTCAATTATGATAGTGTGAAGGTATGATTATGATGATATTGATGATTATCAGGTTAATGAAGGTGAATCCTCACACCTGTTGCCCTGTCCGTCATAGACCCACTGCGTGGAGCCCAGACCTTCATACGCAGAGCCCCAGTAGTACAGACAGGCGTTACAGTGCAGGCAGTACAGCAGGTAGGTGGTGGTCCGGATCACTCTGATCAAACCACACAGAAGGAGAGAGTGGGATATACATACTGAGCTGCCCCTCACGTCTCTCAGAAAGACCAGGGCCTGAGTCTCAGAATAGGAGTGCTTATCTAGGATCAGGTCCCCCTGTCCATATAATCCTATTCATTGTGACCTGAGCATGGTGATGCAGATAAAATACTGTACAAAAAATTGAACAAGTTGATTGTGCTCACCTGTAAACGTAGGCTTTGGTCAGGATGCCCTCAAGACGGTCATTGAACTCAAAGAAAGACATTATCTGGAGAATGGAGGAAAGATGACATATTTTCATTGCAGTGTGAATAACATGATTGTATGTTTCACAGTAGAGCTCGGAGATATGGACAAAAATCCATATCGCAATAAATTGCCTGAATTGATACGATAATGAAAATACGTTTATAACATTAAAGTGCATAAGTTATTTGTATTATCCTTTAAACTACTACTACTAGTTGTAGCCATCAATTGTACCCATTAACAATCACCCATATTAGTGAACTTATTTCATTTCAAACTTTTTCTAGTATAGGCTACTTATCGTAATGAACGATATCGGCAAAATGCCTGCGATAAGTGATCAGTATGGTTGTTGCCGATAATTTTCAGTTCATCATCTCAGCTCTATATCACAATCAACCCAGGTAGACCACACAGGTGGCAGGTGAGCCTTACCTTTAGTAGTCGTGGGAAGCGGAGGAGTGGGTTGATCCCAGTTTTAAAATAGAACAACTCCAGTGGAACAAGACTGATGACATCCATCTGTAACCCAGAGAAACCCAGAGAAACCCAGAGAAACACAGTCAACACAGACATGGTCTGTAAATAAACTGACACAGCATAAACTGACACAAATAAACTAGCCAGCTCCATTCGTTCGCAGCGACGCCGTTTTTCAAACAAAGTCAACACAGCAGCCATTGCTAGCTAGCCAACACTACCAGCTGGCTGTACTGTGGTAGCTAAATACAATATCTTTGTGCTAGCTACCCAACGTTTAATCATTGCTGCGTTATGAAAGGTAAGCTTGGCTTCTTATATGGTGTTGAGTAAAGCTTAAACCATGTATTTAGATTGTAGGTAGGTATTGTAGTTAGGTATTATAGGTAGCTTACTCAGGTAGTTATTGTAGGTTATTGTAGGTAATTATTGTAGGTAAGTATTGTATTCGGCGGACCCCGGCGAAGCACGAGGCTAGCTTACCCACTACTTGGACCAACAAAGCTAGCTAGCTAGCTAGCGGGTAGCTACTGGTAACTTTTAGCAACTGTGGTTAGTTGTTTCCAATGTTATTTCATGCTTAAGAGTACCTGTGATTGAGCCAGCTAGCCGCCACCATTCAGCTGTTTTTCTAACCTCATTATCCGAGGCATTAACGTTAGGTGGTTGGTAGCTGCTGTACTTAATTACAGCTACTGATAACAGTCTGCTGTAGTTTACAACAATTCTAATTTCTAAAGTGGAAGCTGGGAGAGTTTTATTCGGGTGGTTCAGTGAAACAATTATAGTTTCTGAGGTGGAAGTTGGGAGAGTTATATTTTTTTTGGTGAGGGAGGCCTGCTCTCTCCTTTCCCAGATGTTTAGTTCATTTCATTCCGATCTCCTCTGCATTATTGTAGCCATCTGCTGCAGCCTGTCAACTATGCCTCTGCCTATCCCTGTTCTCTCCTCTCCGCACAGGCTACACAAACGCCTCACACCGCGTGGCTGCTGCCTCTCTAACCTGGTGGTCCCTGCACGCACCACACACCTGGAGTTCCAGGTCTCAGGCAGCCTCTGGAACTGCCGTTCTGCCGCCAACAAGGCTGACTTCATCCCAGCCTATGCTACCCTCCAGTCCCTCGACTTCCTGGCGCTGACGGAAACATGGATTACCACTGAAAACACTGCTACTCCTACTGCTCTCTCCTCGTCTGACCATGTGTTCTCGCATACCCCGAGAGCATCTGGTCAGAGGGGTGGTGGCACAGGAATCCTCATCTCTCCCAAGTGGTCATTCTCAATTTTTCCCCTAACCCATCTGTCTATCTCCTCATTTGAATTCCACGCTGTCACAGTCACTAGCCCATTTAAGCTTAATATCCTTGTCATCTATCGCCCTCCAGGTTCCCTTGGAGAGTTCATCAATGAGCTTGACGCCTTGATAAGTTCCTTTCCTGAGGATGGCTCACCCTTCACAGTTTTGGGGGATTTCAACCTCCCTACGTCTACATTTGACTCATTTCTCTCTGCCTCCTTCTTTCCACTCCTCTCCTCTTTTGACCTCACCCTCTCACCGTCCCCCCCTACTCACAAGGCAGGCAATACGCTTGACTTCATCTTTACTAGATGTTGCTCTTCTACTAATCTCACTGCAACTCCCCTCCATGTCTCTGACCACTACTTTGTATCCTTTTCTCTCTCGCTCTCCTCCAACACTACTCACTCTGCCCCTACACAGATGGTAACGCGCCGCCGCAACCTTCGCTCTCTCTCTCTCTCTCCCACTACTCTCTCCTCTTCCATCCTATCATCTCTTCCCTCTGCTCAATCCTTCTCCCTCCAATCTCCTGATTCTGCCTCCTCAACCCTCCTCTCCTCCCTTTCTGCATCCTTTGACTCCCTGTGTCCCCTATCCTCCCGGCCGGCTCGGTCCTCCCCTCCAGCTCCGTGGCTTGATGACTCATTGCGAGCTCACAGAACAGAGCTCCGGGCAGCTGAGCGGAAATGGAAGAAAACTAAACTCCCTGCCGACCTGGCATCTTTTCACTCCCTCCTCTCTACATTTTCTTCATCTGTTTCTGCTGCTAAGGCCACTTTCTACCACTCTAAATTCCAAGCATCTGCCTCTAACCCTAGGAAGCTCTTTGCCACATTCTCCTCACTGCTGAATCTCCCCCCCCCCCCCCCCCTCCTCCCTCTCTGTGGATGACTTCGTCAACCACTTTGAAAAGAAGGTTGACGACATCCGATCCTCATTTGTTAAGTCTAATGACACTGCTGGTCCTGCTCACACTGCCCTACCCTATGCTTTGACTTCTTTCTCCCCTCTCTCTCCAGATAAAATCTTGCGACTAGTGACTGCAGGCCGCCCAACAACCTGCCCGCTTGACCCCATCCCCTCCTCTCTTCTCCAGACCATCTCCGGTGACCTTCTCCCCTACCTCACCTCGCTGATCAACTCATCCTTGACCGCTGGCCATGTCCCTTCCGTCTTCAAGAGAGCGAGAGTTGCACCCCTTCTCAAAAAACCAACACTCGATCCCACTGATGTCAACAACTACAGACCAGTATCCCTTCTTTCTTTTCTTTCCAAAACTATTGAGCGTGCCGTCTTTAGCCAACTCTCTTGCTATCTCTCTCAGAATGACCTTCTTGATCCAAACCAGTCAGGTTTCAGGACTGGTCATTCAACTGAGACTGCTCTTCTCTGTGTCACGGAGGCTCTCCGCACTGCTAAAGCTAACTCTCTCTCCTCTGCTCTTGTCCTTCTAGACCTGTCTGCTGCCTTTGATACTGTGAACCATCAGATCCTCCTCTCCACCCTCTCCGAGCTGGGCATCTCCGGCGCGGCTCACTCCTGGATTGCGTCCTACCTGACCGGTCGCTCCTACCAAGTGGCGTGGCGAGAAGCTGTCTCCGCACCACGTGCTCTCACCACTGGTGTCCCCCAGGGCTCAGTTCTAGGCCCTCTCCTTTTCTCCCTATACACCAAGTCACTTGGCTCTGTCATATCCTCACATGGCCTCTCCTATCATTGCTACGCTGACGATACACAACTAATCTTCTCCTTTCCCCCTTCTGATAACCAGGTGGCGAATCGCATCTCTGCATGTCTGGCCGACATATCAGTATGGATGACGGATCACCACCTCAAGCTGAACCCTGGCAAGACGGAGCTGCTCTTCCTCCCGGGGAAGGACTGCCCGTTCCATGATCTCGCCATCACGGTTGACAACTCCGTTGTGTCCTCCTCCCAGAGTGCGAAGAGCCTTGGCGTGACCCTGGACAACACCCTGTCGTTCTCCGCTAACATCAAGGCGGTGACCCGATCCTGCAGGTTCATGCTCTACAACATTCGGAGAGTACGACCCTGCCTTACACAGGAAGCGGCACAGGTCCTAATCCAGGCACTTGTCATCTCCCGTCTGGATTACTGCAACTCGCTGTTGGCTGGGCTCCCTGCCTGTGCCATTAAACCCCTACAACTCATCCAGAATGCCGCAGCCCGTCTGGTGTTCAACCTTCCCAAGTTCTCTCACGTCACCCCCCTCCTCCGCACACTCCACTGGCTTCCAGTTGAAGCTCGCATCCGTTACAAGACCATGGTGCTTGCCTATGGAGCAGTGAGGGGAACGGCACCTCCGTACCTTCAGGCTCTGATCAGTCCCTACACCCAAACGAGGGCATTGCGTTCATCCACCTCTGGCCTGCTGGCTCCCCTTCCTCTGCGGAAGCATAGTTCCCGCTCAGCCCAGTCAAAACTGTTCACTGCTCTGGCACCCCAATGGTGGAACAAGCTCCCTCACGACGCCAGGACAGCGGAGTCACTCACCACCTTCCGGAGACATTTGAAACCCCACCTCTTTAAGGAATACCTGGGATAGGAGGAGGAAGTAATCCGTCTAGCCCCACCCCCCCCAAAAAAACAAACAACCCACTGGCTATAGGGTGAATGCACCTATTTGTAAGTCGCTCTGGATAAGAGCGTCTGCTAAATGACTTAAATGTAAATGTAAGCATCACATGGCTGGAAAACATTATCTTACTCAAGGCTATTCAGTAAGTAGCCATGCACGAGCCTTAGCTTGTGCGAGCAAGACAGGCAGGCCTGTTTCTGTAGCGTGAGGCAGCTTGATGTACAAGTACACCCCCTGGACAGGACACTAGTCTATCACAGGGCCTTACCCCAAATCTATCTCCTTAATGCTGAGTGCCAAGCGGAGACGCATCAGGTCCCATTTTTACAGTCTTTGGTATGACTCAGCCAGGGATTGAACTCACAACCTTCCAATCTCAGGGTGGACATTGTAACTAGAAGGCCACTGAGTAGTCATTCAGTAGTGAACACTGCAAAATCATTTTCAAGTGAAAACCCACCTTGAACCGGAAGGTTTTCATGTAATTCACTCTCATGTCCTTTTTGTCAAACTGCAATGGGAACAAAAAAAACACATACATCAATGATTTTGACACGTGTATTTCTATGTGTGTTGTATCTGGAAAATCAATTTGAGACATAACCCCTTGTTCTAGCAACATGGTCTCATTAGAATATGTCAAAATAGTGACATTTCACAATTGTGGTCTCAATCTCACCACTATGTCTCCACCGCGGACAAACTGCAGACGGGGCTGGAAGACCAGGATGTCCAAGATGTAGATGAGGTCACACAGATAGTCGGTGAGCAGCCACAGGTAGATGTTACTGGGGGTCTGGTAGGGGAAGGCCCAGCGCACCGGGATAAGCCACATGTTCCAGTTCCACGCCAAGGTGACGAAAAACAGCCACAGCACATAGACCAGATCTAGAGAGAGAACCAGTGTCAACACCCTGCAAGGCTGTACAGCCCTACTGCATCATCCCCATACATCAAAAGAAAGACCAGGTATGACAAAGATCAACAAATTAGATCACTGAAAGCCAAACTAACATTCAGATCAAAGCAGGAGGTCGTCACTAGTTACCACAGCCACAAAGTCATACTTATGGCTAAACCCCACCTATTACTACAATTTATCTTACATTTACATTTTACATTTTTAGTCATTTAGCAGACGCTCTTATCCACAGCGACTCACAGTTAATGAGTGCATACATTTTCATCTTCTTAAAATCTGATTTTAAACCTAACCTTAACCACACTGCTAACCTTATGTCTAATCCTACATTTTTGTTTTCAGGAATTTTTATGATTTAGCCAATGTTGACTTTGTGGCTGTGGTAACTAGTGACAACCATCAGGAGATGACAAAGTTGGAGTAGAAAAAGTTGTAGAGAAGGAGGAGGGAGTACTACAAGAATAGAAGCAGGGAGGAGGAAGCGAGAGGAGTAGAAGAGGAGGAGCTAGTGTATGCTAGGCGGAGGGGGAGCTCACTGGTGAAGGGGTCGATGCTAGCGGGGAAGCGGTAGTGCAGCAGGGCTCTGATCCAGCGAGGAGGCGTCACCTTGCAGCACAGTCTAGACTTGGGTTGCTGTTGTTGCTCCTCCATCTCCCTCTCCTCCTCCTTCGGCTCCTCTGGAGGCGCAGGAGGAGGAGGTGTTGGAGCTCTGGCAGGGGCTGCAGGTGAGAGAGCAGAGAGGAGAGTCACAGGTCAGAGGTGAAAGGTCAGGTTAAAGAGGTCGTTGGTCACAGCTGTGCTGATGCAGCTCACCTGTGTGTGAGCGGAGGGTCTGAGCTTTGCTATGTTTGGCTGTGCGTTTGCACCTGGAAATAAAAGGTACTGTAACCCTTCACTTGAAAAAGAAAAGGAGAGACTCACACTCTAGGAGCTCAGAGGCAATAATGTCTTCATCAGGGTATAATGACAAACACTGTGGGTCACTAGTTTATATATACTGAACAAAAATATAAATGCAACATGTAAAGTGTTGGTCCCATGTTTCATGGGCTGAAATAAAAGATCCCAGAAATGTTCCATACACACAGAAATCTTATTTCTCTCAAATTTTGTGCACACATTTGTTTACATCCCTGTTAGTGAGCATTTCTCCTTTGCCAAGATAATCCATCCACCTGACAGGTGTGGCATATCAAGAAGCTGATTAAACAGCATGATCATTACACATGTGCACCTTGAGCTGGGGACAATAAAAGGCCACTCTAAAATGTACAGTTTTGTCACACAACACAATGCCACAGATGTCTCAAGTTTTGAGGGAGCGTGCAATTGGCATGCTGACTGCAGGAATGTCCACTAGAGTTGTTGCCAGATACTTTAATGTTAATTTCTCTACCATAAGCCGCCTCCAATGTCGTTTCAGAGAGTTTGGCAGTACGTCCAACCAGTCTCACAACTGCAGATCACGTGTAACCACGCCAGCCCAGGACCTTCAATTCCGGCTTCTTCACCTGCAGGATCTTCTGAGACCAGCCACCCGGATAGCTGATGAAATTGAGGAGTATTTCTGTCTGTAATACAGCCCTTTTGTGGGGAAAAACTCATTCTGATTGGCTGGGCCTGGCTCCCCAGTGGGTGGGCCTTGCTCCCAAGTGGGTGGGCCTATGCCCTCCCAGGCCCACCCATGGCTGTGCCCCTTCTCAGTCATGTGAAATCCATGGATTAGGGTCTAATGAATTTATTTACATTTACTGATTTCCTTATATGAACTGTAACTCAGTATAATCGTTCAAATTGTTGCATGTTGCGTTTATATTTTTGTTCAGTATAGTTTTAAAGGACACACACAGGTGTCTGTAATCATGGCCAGCTGTTGCTTGATTTCATTGGTTGATTTAGAGATATAAACAGAACATATTAAAAAGCATGAATGGTTAACATAAGATCATAGATACAATTTGGCTATATACGCCTACAAACATTATTTACAATGGATAGCAAAAACACAATCACAAGAATGGCTTCAGATCAAACTCTACGTTGAGACCGAAGGGAGCAAGGGTCTTTAAATTAAAGATCCAGGCGGCCTCTCGCTTTAACAATAAATTGTCAAGGTCACCCCCTCTCCTAGGAAGGGTGACGTATTAGATGCCGAAATAGCGAAGGGCCGAAATAGAGTGGTTCGCTTCCAAAAAGTGGGCAGCAACTTTACGTTGAGTTTTTGCACCTAACTGTAACCCTTCACAACAGGTGTCTTTCTTAGCCATGGAGCGAATGAGGTTGCTTCGTAATTCAAGACAACTGATACACAAGGGACTGAATTGTATCTACTGTGTTGCATTCTAATAGTGTGCAGTTTTCTAAGCAGATTTCACTGCAAGTATTGGATGTATTTGTTTTTTAAATGTTTAATTTTTATTGCTCCACTGTTGCTAGCATTGTCAAAATCAGGCCCATTGTCTGTAAGCCATGTGTGTTTGTAACTGTATGTGTGGCATGTGTACATTGGACATTGAGCACATGACCAGACCTGAGTGTAACTGTATTATGTGTTACTCACAGGCAGTGGGACTGTCATCATCAGAGTGATCTGGGTCTATGAGTTTCTCTTTGGCCCTTTCTGTCCTCTCCTTAAACATCTTGACCAGCTCCTGTAGGCGCTCATTCACCACGTAGCTGGTCTGGCTAGCGGACGACGCAGGGCGCTCCTTTAGCCTTCAAACACAAAACATCCATGGGTAATTAACACACACACACACACACACACACACCAAACATTTCTCTGAAACCACACATCAATGTTCTTTTGAAGTGAATATAACAACACACAGTCCTAGTGTTGGTGTGAATAAAAGCAGTGAAAATGTCTCCCACACACACATTTTATCTCTGCACTTTTATTGTGTCCGAATTTCAGTCATTCTGACCACATTGTCGACACCCACCGACCAACACATTTTGTGCAATATTCATATGTAGCTAGCTAACAGTGGTGATGTGGAGGTATCTGTATTCACCCATCGTCTCCACTCGGGATGCTGGACTGGCTAGGCCACGCCCTCACTGCGGTCTCTGTCTCCTCTTCATCCTCCTCACTCTGAGAGTACAGCTTCTTTCTGTGGAGGGGAGGCAGGGAACAACACTGTAGCACAGTGCCTGATACAGAGACAGATGGAACAATTAAGGTTGCTATCATTTGGAACCTGCTCTGTTATTAGAGTGCTCCCTGCAGTCTTGGCCTTACCATGGGGCATTACAGTTTACACAGGAAGGGAATGGCAGTATAGGGAATACAGTATGTGGAACATGGTGAAATTATGTTGTTTGAACATTCAACACAACTCACACATGTACACTGAATGAGGCCCTGAACTATCTTGAGCATCAGCCTTTTCAAGTAGTACACATTTTTATAGTATAAAAACAAGACAGAGAACCACACAGGTTAGGACGGGGTGAAGGAGTGAGGATGCAGTAAGGGTGAACTTCTGATGGGACGAATGTTGATGGATGGATGGATCCTTGATGTGACAATGATTACACATCTTACATATTGGTCCAGATATTCCTGGGTTTCTTCTCACTAGGTCAGTCCATGGTTCCATCAACAGGGGCAGAGAAGTGTGTGTGTGTGTGTGTGTGTGTGTGTGTGTGTGTGTGTGTGTGTGTGTGTGTGTGTGTGTGTGTGTGTGTGTGTGTGTGTGTGTGTGTGTGTGTGTGTGTGTGTGTGTGTGAGAGAAACAGAATGAGATGGGAGAGGTAGAGAATCACAATGACATCAACAATCACTAACAGCATTCGTATAATTAGTCACAGACGGAACACACAACCAGATGACAGGTTGAAGATAGCGCAAGATACTCTTACTGCACTTACTATTGACATGACTCACAGCGGTAGCAGACAACAGAACAGACACATAACAACAGAAAACAGCATAGAGCAGAACAGAACAACAGAACGAAAGACTACAAACATAGATGAACATGCTATTGAGAGACAGACAGTAGATGGAGAAGTAAAGGGACACTAAACACCATGTCTAAAGAGGTTGGGAGTGGGGGGGAGCTATCGATCAACAAAATAGAATACAAATACAGTCTATAAGCTAAGATGTACTGTATTTTATAGACATTCTCCATTCTTACTCTTTTTCAGCAACTTTACTGTTGACCAAAGCAATATAGAAGGAAAAAAGAAAACACCAATTTAGAGGATATCATCAGAGGTTGGGAAATAAATTGCAGTAGTAATAGTAGTATTAGAGACAGCAGTCATGTGCTTTATAGTGGTTATATATTTGTACAATATCTTCATGCCAAGTGGAGGCAATTTAATTTGGGAGTATGGGCTCACCTCTGATGGCTGGTTTTGGACACTCCGGGTACGGTCAGGGTCTTGAAGTTGGGGTCCTGTGGGGTAAGGATTTGGGGAATGTGGTGGCGGCGGTGCTCCCCTCCGCCCCCTCCTCCCTCTCCGCCTGAATCCACATCCTCCACATTGACAGCTGGGTGCACACTGAGCCTGGAGCTCACTGGGGAAGCAACAGGAACACACTGAGTGACTCAACTGTTCCCCGGTGGAACACAGCTAGTAATGAGGCTTATGTACACTGTGGTACTCTATACACATATACTAGACCAGGCTTATTTGTTGATGTAAAAATCAAAATGTACCGATTTTAAGGTTGTGACATTAGATTTGGGGTGGGGTGGGGTCGTGAGAAATTCTTGGGGAAAAAATGGGGTCCCCAGAAATTCTGCCTGAAAAAATGGGGTCCCCACTGAAAAAGTTTGAATACACTGTACTAGAAGCTTAGACGCTCTAAGTGTCAACACAAAATAGGACACTACAAGTGTCACATACTCTGGGCGGCAGGTAGCCTAACAGTTAAGAGCGTTGGGCCAGTAACCGCTGGTTTGAATCACCAAGCCGACTAGGTGGAAAATCAGTTGATGTGCCCTTGAGCAAGGCACTTAACCCTAATTGCTCCTGTAAGTCGCTCTGGATAAGAGTGTCTGTTAAATGAAAAATGTACTCTCTATTCCTCTTTTGTCAGAGCTTCAAGCGCCACTTGAAGGCTTACCTATCACAAAACAGACAGCTGAAACTATTATATAACAAACAAACAAACATACAGAGAACAAACAGACCTTTTAAAGCAAGAGCTTCTTGGAACCACAGGATTCTATGCTTCTAGGTTTTTCTGAGAAACATGCTAAACAGACATGTCACAGGCAAACCAACAACAAAGAACACAGTGCCAGCATCAACAACTGACTGCAACACAACATAACATAGCCCAGCAAATCTAAGCACATCACACCACAGCATCATAGCACAGCATCACAACACAGCATCACAGCACAGCACAGCACTGAACAGGGCAGGATGTCTGTGTGGGCTGCTGCTGAATCACCTGAGGGTAGAGCGGACGTGGGGTCGTCCTCGATGTGGAAGGCGGGGTTGGAAAGCCCTGACAGCTGCCTGGACAGGCTGATGGGTGGCAGGCGGGGGTAGGAGGGCATGTTGGGCAGCTCTAGGGTACTGTTGGGGGAGGACGGTGAGGGGGTGCGGGTTGGAGGGCGGTGGTGGAGAGGGACCCGGCGGACCAGGCGGTCCAACTCCAGATCCCGGTTCTGCTGCTGCTGCTTAGGCATCCTGGGGCTTAAGGCTGTTCAGGCGGTTCTGCACGTTGGTGTAGGACTGTCCCACTCGCTGAGGTAAGTTGTATATCTGGCTGGGAATATTGGCCAGGGTTTGGGGTAAACTGGATAACCGCTGGAGTAGGTTGGTGGGTAGACCAGGTAACTGCTGAGGTATTTGAACTTGGAGCTGGTGGGGCAGTTGGGACATCTGTTGGGGCAGTTGAGAGATCTGTTGTGGCAGTTGGGAGACACGCTGGGACATTTGGGTGAATGGCCGAGTGTACTGGAAGAACTCTTGGGAGAGTTCTGGGGGGAGAGATGGCACTAGCTGGGTGACCTGGGAGGTGAACTGGGAGAGGTTGGTGGGGAGCTGGGGCATGGGGGGAAGTTTAGGAGGGGTGATGTTGTGCTCTTTCAGCAGGTTATTGAAGCTGTTGAGGCACGCAGGCGCGTGGGGAATACGCATGAGACAGCTCTTTACTGCATCGCAGCTGGAAGGGACTGGGAGGAGAGCATAACACCATCAGTCAGGCAGCACGAGACAACACTCATCCTAATGAACACTCTGACGTGGAGCTTCTTCAGTCACAGTCTGTCATCAGATAGCACTGTGAGAGAGCATGAATGCACGCACGCAAGCAAAACGCAGGCACACACACACACACAAGTGGTGGTCACTGCATTCTCCGAAGAGAAAGGATTAGCCAGGTCCATCATGGGACTTGCAAGTTACAAACCAAGATAGAAGATACGCATTCAAATGTGATTACAATATTCCCCTTTCAAACATAAACACAATCGTATTATAATGACCAAATACTTACCACCACAGTCGCCCTCCTCTACAGTCTCCCCCTCCTCCTGCAGAGACAGAGAAGCAGCAGAGGAACAGGAACAGCCATGAGTGACAGAACAACAGCAGGGAATAGCATTTAGTGACAGGTAGTTACCACAGCTGCACAAGCCTCAGGAGAGACAGCTAAATGTTGAGTCTTCCCATATGGAAAAGATATAGAAGAACCTAACACGATTCTTATATGTTCTACCTGGAACTTGTAAGTAATGCATATGGCAGCAAATACACATACAATATTCATAGAAGATTCTTGTAATATCTGACTTATGTGGGTGGGTAACATTTAGACATAACTGAAATGTTGCTTGTATTGCTGTAAACAGGGAAGGGGGATACTAGTCAGTTGCAAAACTGAACCTATTCAACCGAAATGTGTTTTCTGCATTTAACCCAACCCCTCTGAATCAGAGAGATGCGGGGGGCTGCCTTAATCAACGTCATCGGCGCACTGGGAGCAGTTGTTGTTGGGGGTCAACTGCCTTGCTCAAGAACGGCAGGTTTTTCCACACATATTGAAGAAAGAAGCAAAGTCTGCCGCGAGGAGGAGCAGGAGGAGGAAGGGGGAAAGCAGAAAGAGGAGGAGAAGAGGAGAAAGAGGGGAGGACAGGAGGAGGACAGGAGGACAGCAGGAAGACAGGAGGAGGAGGAATGACTTTGATAGCAGCAGTGAATCTATTTAGTTATTAAGTGGAGATCGCTCAACAATCATTCTCACGATAGCACATTGGTAGTAGTCAGTGACAAATATCAAAGACAAGCAGGGCTGGGCTTGGTTAAAACCCTGGATGGGAGACCAAAGGCATAGCTGTAGATACAATAAATCAACTGTCCAATAGGAGCCCAGCATTTATATTGTATTTTTCTTACAGTAATTGTCATGTTTAAAAAAAATAAGAAAAGCATTTATTTTTAGAGGTTACATGTCAAAACATACACTTTTCTTATAATATTCATAGACGACTCATATTCATATATTTTGTAACATATACACTACCGGTCAAAAGTTTTAGAACACCTACTCATTCAAGGGTTTTTCTTTATTTTTACTATTTTCTACATTGTAGAATAATAGTGAAGACATCAAAACTATGAAATTACACATATGGAATCATGTAGTAACCAAAAAAGTGTTAAACAAATCAAAATATATTTTATATTTGAGATTCTTCAAATAGCCACCCTTTGCCTTGACTCATCCCAAACCATCTCAATTGGGTTGAGGTCGGGGGATTGTGGAGGCCAGGTCATCTGATGCTGCACTCCATCACTCTCCTTCTTGGTCAAATAGGCCTTACACAGCCTGTAGGTGTGTTGGGTCATTGTCCTGTTGAAAAACAAATGATAGTCCCACTAAGCCCAAACCAGATGGGATGGCGTATCGCTGCAGAATGCTGTGGTAGTCATGCTGGTTAAGTGTGCCTAGATTTAGAAATAAATCACAGACAGTGTCACCAGTAAAGCACCCCGACACCATAACACCTCCTCCTCCATGCTTTACGGTGGGAAATACACATGCGGAGATCATCTGTTCACCCACACCGCGTCTCACAAAGACACGGCGGTTGGAACCAAAAATCTCCAATTTGGACTCCATACCAAAGGACACATTTCCACCGGTCTAATGTCCATTGGTCGTGTTTCTTGGCAAAGCAAGTCTCTTCTTCTTTACTCTTACTGAATTTCCACGTGGGCAAGGATATTGGAGATTTAATCAAAGCTTATTGGATGATAACTTGTTTTTAACTAGGACAGAGGAATTTATAACTGATATTTACGACATAACATAGGTACAGCAAATCCCCTTATTGTATGGGACACTTTTAAATGTGCCTTTAGAGGCCATGCAATTCAGTATTCATCTCGAAAACAAAACCAATTTACGTCAAAAGAGTCCATACTAACAAAGGAAATAGAAGGTCTAACAGAACAGATAGATAGTAATAAAAACTGTAACATAGAGGCTCAGAATAAATTAGAGGAAAAAGAAAAAGAAATTGAGAAACTTATTCAAGAAAGATCAAGTGTAATATATTATTAAAATAAAGCAAACTGGATGGAATATGGGGAAAAATGCACCAAATTATTTTTTAATCTTCAACATAGAAATGCTACCAAAAGGAATTTACTGAAACTGGTTACAAATGACGGAGTCACCCATGATTCACCAAATTATATTTTGAAGGAAGAAGCAAAGTACTTTAAGCAAATGTTTTCGTTTCAGTCGCCTCCATCTCCTCTAACTGAAGCTAATTGTAGAGATTTTTTTTCTATTGATAATGTAAAATTAACAGCCATACAGAAAGACTATTGTGAAAGTGAAATTACAGAGGAGGAACTTCTGGATGCAATTAAAGACTTTAAGTCCGGGAAAACTCCAGGGTTGGATGGCATACCAGTCGAGGTATACCAAACCTTTTTTGATATATTCAGAGGACCGTTATTAGCATGTTTTAACCACTCCTATGTAAATGGTAGATTATCAGACACTCAATAAGAAGGTCTGATTTCATTATTACTGAAACAGGATACAAGTGGAAAATATAAAGATCCAGTCCATTAAAACCATTGGAGGCCCCTTACGCTTCAGTGTTGTGATGCAAAAATTCTAGCAAAATGTATATCGCATAGAATTAAAAAGATATTGTCGGACATTATTCATTCTAATCAGACAGGTTCTTTACATGGACGATACATTGGAGATAATATAAGGCAAGTACTGGAAGCAATAGAACACTATGAAAAATCTGGGAAACCAGGCCTGCTATTCATTGCAGACTTTGAAAAGGCATTTGATAAAGTACTACTGGGGTTTATATATAAATGCCTGGAGCATTTCAATTTTGGAGAATCTCTTATAAAATGGGTTAAAATCATGTATAGTAACCCTAGGTGTAAAATAGTAAATAATGGCTATTTCTCCGAAAGTTTTAAACTGTCAAGAGGAGTGAAACAAGGTTATCCACTATCAGCATATCTATTTATTATGGCCATCGAAATGTTAGCTATTAAAATCAGATCCAACAACAATATCAAGGGATTAGAAATCCAGGGTTTAAAAACAAAGGTGTCATTGTACGCTGATGATTCATGTTTTCTTTTAAATCCACAACTTGAATCCCTCCACAGCCTCATAGAGGCTCTAGATACATTTTCTAACCTCTCTGGATTACAACCAAATTATGATAAATGTACTATATTACGTATTGGATCACTAAAAAATACAATTTTTACATTACCATGTAGTTTACCAATAAAATGGTCTGATGGTGATGTGGATATACTCGGAATACATATCCCAAATGAAATAAATGATCTCACTCCAATAAATGTTAATAGAAAAAAATTAAATAGATAAGATCTTGCTACCATGGAAAGGTAAATACTGTCCCTGTCAATTTGTGGAAAAATCACCCTGATTAACTCTTTAGTATTATCCTAGTTTATCTATTTGCTAATGGTCTTGCCTACGCCTAGCGAACAGTTTTTTAAATTATATGAGAAAAAAATATTCCATTTTATTTGGAACGGCAAGCCAGACAAAATTAGAAGGGCCTATTTATATAATAAATATGAATTCGGAGGACAGAAATTATTAAATATTAAAGCATTAGACCTATCACTAAAAACATCAGTCATACAAAAGTTATACTTAAATCCGAACTGGTTCTCTAGCAAATTAGTAAGATTGTCTCACCCAATGTTCAAGAATGGCCTTTTTTCCTTTATTCAGATTACAACCTCTCACTTTCAGTTATTTGAAAAGTAAATAATCTCCCAAATATCACTATTTCTAAAAAAAGCCATAGAAAATTGGTTGCAATTTCCATTTAATCCTCCAGAAACGACAGAACAAATAATGCAACAAATATTGTGGTTAAACTCAAATACACTAATTGATAAAAAAAAAACATTACTTTTTGAATAAAATAAAAAAAAAGGTATAATCTTCGTAAATGATATCATAGGTAGGACTGGTGGAGTTATGTCGCACATGCAGCTAACAAAAACATATGGAAATAATTGCAGCATTACCGCAAAAATGGAAAGGGAAAGTGGAAGTGGGAAAATGTAAGGAACTTGTCTGTCGGCCCTGCATTAAAGAACATAATTGGTTAAAGAAAATTGTGATAAATAAAAAAGTATACCAGTTTCATTTAAGGACCAAATGATTGACAGCCGTCCCATATAGATTGCAAAATAGTTGGGAAGAGATTTTTGACGTACCGATTCCATGGCATAGTGTTTATGAACTGATACACAAAACGACGGCGGATTCAAAACTTATAACTTTTCAATTTAAATTATTATACAAAATTCTTGCTACCAATAGAATGTTATTTATATGGGGTATACAATCTTCCCAGCTCTGCAGATTTTGCTGCGAAGAGACAGAATCATTAGATCACTTGTTTCGGTACTGTCCATTTGTAGCTTGTTTTTGGACACAGGTCCAGGAATGGCTAAAGGATTGCAATATTTAACTGGAGCTAACCCTGCAGATAGCACTACTGGGTGATCTGAAAAGTCATAGTCAATCGATCAATAATATAATAATACTTTTAGCAAAAATGTTTATTTTCAATTTACAATCTGTAGAAACAATGAGAATAGAAGGGTTCAGAATTTTTGTAAAACATCACAGTACAGTTCAAAAATATATGGCAAATAGAAATCCAATATGGATGGTGTTAACAGATAGATGGGAGGTGTTGAATGGAGTTGAAGGATGGGACTAATAACAACTAACAACAAGATAACTAATGTAAAGCATACTGTGTCCATAATAAGTATATAGGTTATAGGTTGAGAGCTTTTGTGAAAGAGCACAGGAGTAAAAACAAACAAAATAGAATTATTGTAGAATTGACTGTGTCCATAAAATGTATATAGTATGTACAGTGAGGGAAAAAAGTATTTGATCCCCTGCTGATTTTGTACGTTTGCCCACTGACAAAGAAATTATCAGTCTATAATTTTAATGTTAGGTTTATTTGAACCGTGAGAGACAGAATAACAACAACAAAATCCAGAATAACGCATGTCAAAAATGTTATAAATTGATTTGCATTTTAATGAGGGAAATAAGTATTTGACCCCTCCGCAAAACATGACTTAGTACTTGGTGGCAAAACCCTTGTTGGCAATCACAGAGGTCAGACGTTTCTTGTAGTTGGCCATCAGGTTTGCACACATCTCAGGAGGGATTTTGTCTCACTCCTCTTTGCAGATCTTCTCCAAGTCATTAAGATTTTGAGGCTGACGTTTGGCAACTCGAACCTTCAGCTCCCTCCACAGATTTTCTATGGGATTAAGGTCTGGAGACTGGCTAGGCCACTCCAGGAACTTAATGTGCTTCTTCTTGAGCAACTCTTTTGTTGCCTTGGCCGTACGTTTTGGGTCATTGTCATGCTGGAATACCCATCCACAACCCATTTCCAATGCCCTGGCTGAGGGAAGGAGGTTCTCACCCAAGATTTGACGGTACAAGGCCCCGTCCATCGTCCCTTTGATGCGGTGAAGTTGTCCTGTCCCCTTAGCAGAAAAACACCCCCAAAGCATAATGTTTCCACCTCCATGTTTGACGGTGGGGATGGTGTTCTTGGGGTCATAGGCAGCATTCCTCCTCCTCCAAACACAGCGAGTTGAGTTGATGCCAAAGAGCTCGATTTTGGTCTCATCTGACCACAACACTTTCACCCAGTTCTCCTCTGAATCATTCAGATGTTCATTGGCAAACATCAGACGGCCCTGTATATGTGCTTTCTTGAGCAGGGGAACGTTGCGGGCGCTGCAGGATTTCAGTCCTTCACGGCATAGTGTCTTACCAATTGTTTTCTTGGTGACTATGGTCCCAGCTGCCTTGAGATCATTGACAAGATCCTCCCGTGTAGTTCTGGGCTGATTCCTCACCGTTCTCATGATCATTGCAACTCCACGAGGTGAGATCTTGCATGGAGCCCCAAGCCGAGGGAGATTGACCATCATCTTGAACTTCTTCCATTTTCTAATAATTGCGCCAACGTGTTTGGAGGAAGAAGAAGGATGAGTACAACCCCAAGAACACCATCCCAACCGTGAAGCATGGAGGTGGAAACATCATTCTTTGGGGATGCTTTTCTGCAAAGGGGACAGGACGACTGCACCGTATTGAGGGGAGGATGGATGGGGCCATGTATCGCGAGATCTTGGCCAACAACCTCCTTCCCTCAGTAAGAGCATTGAAGATGGGTCGTGGCTGGGTCTTCCAGCATGACAACGACCTGAAACACACAGCCAGGGCAACTAAGGAGTGGCTCCGTAAGAAGCATCTCAAGGTCCTGGATTGGCCTAGCCAGTCTCCAGACCTGAACCCAATAGAAAATCTTTGGAGGGAGCTGATAGTCCGTATTGCCCAGCGACAGCCCCGAAACCTGAAGGATCTGGAGAAGGTCTGTATGGAGGAGTGGGCCAAAATCCCTGCTGCAGTGTGTGCAAACCTGGTCAAGACCTACAGGAAACGTATGATCTCTGTAATTGCAAACAAAGGTTTCTGTACCAAATATTAAGTTCTGCTTTTCTGATGTATCAAATACTTATGTCATGCAATAAAATGCAAATTAATTACTTAAAAATCATACAATGTGATTTTCTGGATTTTTGTTTTAGATTCCGTCTCTCACAGTTGAAGTGTACCTATGATAAAAATTACAGACCTCTACATGCTTTGTAAGTAGGAAAACCTGCAAAATCGGCAGTGTATCAAATACTTGTTTTTTTATTGGTGGCCTTTAGTAGTGGTTTCTTTGCAGCATTCCGACCATGAAGGCCTAATTCACACAGTCTCCTCTGAACAGTTGATGTTGAGATGTGTCTGTTACTTGAACTCTGTGAAGCATTTATTTGGGCTGCAATTTCTGAGGCTGGTAACTCTAATGAACTTGTCCTCTGCAGCAGAGGTAACTCTGGGTCTTTCATTCCTGTGGTGGTCCTCATGAGAGCAAGTTTCATCATAGTACTTGATGGTTTCTGCGACTGCACTTGAAGAAACTTTAAAAGTTCTGGAAATGTTCTGTATTGACTGACCTTCATGTCTTAAAGTAATGATGGACTGTTGTTTCTCTTTGCTTATTTGAGCTGTTCTTGCCATAATATGGACTTGATCTTTTACCAAATAGGGCTATCTTCTGTATACCCCCCCCCCTACCTTGTCACAACACAAATGATTGGCTCAAACGCATTAAGAAGGAAATAAATTCCACAAATTAACTTTTAAGAAGGCACACCTGTTAATTGAAATGCATTCCAGGTGACTACCTCATGAAGCTGGTTGAGAGAATGCCAAGAGTGTGCAAAGCTGTCATCAAGGCAAAGGGTGGCTATTTGAAGAATCTCAAATATAAAATATATTTTGATTTGTTGAAAAATGTTTTGGTTACTACATGATTCCATATGTGTTATTTCATAGTGTTGATGTCTTCACTATTATTCTACAATGTAGAAAATAGTAAAAATAAAGAAAAACCCTTGAATGAGTAGGTGTTCTAAAACTTTTGACCGGTAGTGTATATCATACAATGTCCATGTAGGAAAGTGGCCACTTTCATGTATTCGATTGTGTTTGTCATACAAGGCCAAACATACACAATTTCAATATTGATATAGAAGATACATGTACAAATCATTTATTTGTATCTTATCTGATTCTTATTAGATTTTTGAACAAATAATCTACTTCTGCCATACAAGATTCTTTTTTCCATATGCGTTATGACGAAAACCATAGCTGTGACATTACCTTGGTAGAGGTGTCAGGTTTGTTGCTGTCCTCTGCCTTCTGTGGTTGTTGGGTCACCGGTTCAGGTGCTACTTTGGCGTCCTGGGCCTCTGGTTTAGGTTCAGGCTCTGCTGTCTTGAATGTCTCTGGCTCTGGGCTTGAAGGAGGGGATGGAGAGGCCCTCTGGGGCTCTGGCTCCTCCTGGGGCTCTGGTTCAACGTCGGGTGATATAGCCTCTCTGGGCTCTGACTGAGGGGCACTCTCTGATGCCTCCACTGGCTCCTCCTCAGCAGGACACACCTGGCACCTATAGTACAGGTGCAGTTAGGGGCCACATCAAAGAAATGTGCATACAGTGATATGAACATATAAAAATGAACACAGCCAGGGAAAAAAGTGATTCGATGGCGTCATGGTTGCCCCATTACTACAGTGAAAACAGCCCAACCAGGTCAAAAGATCTGACCTATATATTACCGGCACAACATATATATTTTTCCTATAGCAGATCGGCGGGTTGTCACTAGTTACCACAGCCACAAAGTCAAACTTGTCTATATCATACAAATTCATGAAAACAAAAATTAGCTTTTTAGTCTTCATTTAAAGATGCCTTTGCAGAAATCTCTCCGCCTTTTCCTGATTGCTGAAATTCTAATAGTTCGACCTAATTTCAGTTTATGTGGCAAAACAAGCAAGTACAATGTAGAGCAGGGTTCTTCAATTCCGGTCCTGGAGGGCCGAAACACTTCTGTTTTTTATTTCTACCTGGTGGTTAATTGCACTCACCTGCTGTCCCAGGTCTGAATTAGCCCCTGATTAGAAGGAGAGGATGAAAAACAGAGGTGTTTCGGCCCTCCAGGACCGGAATTGAAGAACCCTGGTGTAGAGAATCATTCTACTATCTAAACCGCTGTAAAATATATTTTCCATAACCAAAAATATTGTACTTTCAGCAGTTTGAAGCTGGTGTACAAAACCGAAAGTGAAGGACGCAAAAACGGAACTTAAGGATGGGAAGCATAGAAATAGCACACATTGAACAGATCTACCGCTTCTTAGAATTTATTTCAATGAGTGACATATTTATAACTCACATTTCTATGTGCATTTGTTCGGGTCACCCAAAAAGTCACATATTGCAGCATTAAGGTTTGGGTTAGGCATAAGGTTAGCAGTGTGGTTAAGGTTCTTAAGGATCTGACCCTTTTTTTCAATTTTCGCCTAAAATGACATACCCAAATCTAACTGCCTGTAGCTCAGGACCTGAAGCAAGGATATGCATATTCTTGATACCATTTGAAAGGAAACACTTTGAAGGGACCCTCAGGATGACAAATCAGAGCAAGATTACTGAATGTAAGTACATTATCTACCTTCAGAGGTGAATGTATCAAACCATGACTGTAAGTCGCTTTGGATAAGAGTGTCTGCTAAATGGCATATTATATTATATTATTATATTATTTTACAGTCATTTAGCAGACGCTGTTATCCAGAGCGACTTACAAATTGGACCAGTTGGCGTGATAATTGTTGTTGTTGTTGTGCACTCTCCTCAAACAATAGCGTGCTATTTTTTCACTGTAATAGCTACTGTAAATTGGACAGTGCTGTTAGAGTAACAAGAATTTAGGCTTTCTACCCATATAAGACATATCTATGTCCTGGAAAGTTTGCTGTTACTTACAACAGTCATGCTAATCACATTAGCGCACGTTAGCTCAACCGTCCCGTATACGGGATTGTGTCCCGTAGAGGTTAAAGTTAGGTTTAAAATCCGATTTTAAGAAAATAAATGGGCAAGGTTTAGCTATTTGTGGCTGTGGGAACTAGTGACGACCGGATCGCCATGTTGTGGGCTGTTCTAAAACTACTCAGTCATGTTACCTCATTGGCTAGCTAGCTAACAGCTAGTAACTTTACCAGTATATCCAAACATTTGGGGGCATAGAAAGAAAGGAAAAGGGATAGCTTCTTCAGGAGAGCAATGCTCATAGCAATGAATGACGCTGCGTTCACGTCCTAGTCGGAACTAAGAAACTCAGACATTTCAGACTTGCTAACTGGTTGTAGCGGTCAAACAGGGAAATGGTTCCAATCGTTTTTCCACCATTCATTTTTCCCATAGGGGATTTTAGAAACACTTAAAATAAGAGCTTGTGTAGGCATACCCTGGCGTGACGTTGTGATAACTGTGTAAATCTCTCTAGGACAAGGTTACTTTTATAAATATATTCACCTGTATTTACCCCCCAAAAATGAATCTGAGCGTAAATAGAGCCAAATATATTGATAAAAGTCCCCTTGTCCAAGAGAGATTTACATGGTATTCAAAACATCACGCCAGGGTAAGCCTACACGAAACACAGCCCTTATTTTCAGTGTTTCTAAAATCTCCTATGAGAAAAATGAATGGTGGAAAAACGATTGGAACCATTTCCCTGTTTGACCGCTAGGTTTTATGGATATTATGACACCTCCGCTGTGGGGCTCTATACACGTGCTGCATTCAACCAGTTAGCAAGTCAGAAATTTCCTAGTTTCCTAGTTCTGACTAGCACATGAACATATCAAAAGTCAACTGGGTTAAAAGGTACTTAAAAAATCCTCATAGTTTCTGGAATATTATACCTCATTTTGTTTTTCAGAAGCTCGGAGGGCTTAATTTTTTACTACAATGTCCCTATATTGTGGGTAAACTTCCTGTGAAATTGGTGGCTTTTCACAAGCAGGCTTTAATGTGCCGGGCTTTGCTTTATAAACACAACTTTTCACCTCATAAATGTTTTATATGGAATAATGGGTCGATATTACATAGAAACAAGATGTTATTTTACTGTAACTGGTTCTCGAAAAACATTGTCCTTGTCAGCCAATTAGTTAGTATTAGTGGGAATCTATTTACACGGAGAGAATTTATGGAAAGATACAACATTGAGGTTTCAAGCAAGGAATATGAGTGGGATAAAATCTTTACTTCAGAATAATGCATATTTTGGAACATCTCCTATTGTAAGCGATATCCAAGTGAATGGCATAGATAAGACATTTAATAATCGTTTTTTAAGGGATATTTTCTACAGGAATTCGATTCCTTCTGTTATATTTTATTGGGCTTCATCGTTTGATGTAAACTGGCGCCGTGCTTGGCTCACTCCACACAAATTTATGGTGACCAATAAAGTAAAGGAGAACTCCTTTAAGATTATCCATAGATTCTACTGATGTAATAGCCTGATTTCTAAATATATACCTGATGTTACTAGTGAATGCAGTTTTTGTGAACTAGAAACTGAATCTATTGAACACTTATTTTGTAATTGTTTACATAGTGAGTTGTTCTGGACTGATGTACAACTATATCTTGGCAACAAAATGCATACAACCATTGAAGTTTGACATATTATTTTACTACACTGATTCCACAATTGAACTCAGTATGTCATAAATCTCTTTATTTTATTAGGTAATTGTTTTATACACAAATCAACATTTATGAAGAAAAAGCATCCTTTTTAAAACATTTGTATCAGATTTGGAAAACTATTTAGCATCATTAAAACGTATACAAAACAAAATGTCAAAATGTTTTCTTCATTACATGTCTGTATTTGATTTGATATAATGTGGATTTGTATTATGATTATTAATTTTTCTCTCTTCCTTATATATTTGTGTAATCCCTCTGGCTGTTCTGTTTGTTGTGTTTTACATGTTACTGTTTAATAAAAATAAAAATACTTTTTAAAGAGACAGTGTACAATGTAATGCATCTCAATAAGAAAATTGTGCTTTTACACAATGTAGAAACCTAATATTCCACAAATTACTTTGTAATTTTAATGAAAGGTATTCATATCATTTAGCTTTTATAATAACCTAACGTCTTTACAGTGTTACATATTAGTTTCTAGGTCACAACATGTGCTCCAAAGTAGCTAGAATTCATATAGAAAATCGTATTTCCTGATGCTCCTACATTTCATGGTGCTCCTAACTTTTTTAAGTTGAGAGCACCAGTGCTACCAATGAAAATGTTAATTTAGAGCCCTGAGCACAGCAGAATGTTGCTCCCTGATGATCCCAATGCCTCCCCCCTATAACTGCCTGACACTATTACATAGGTAGATCAACAACATAAGGTCACTTCAACATAAGGTCACTTGCCAATCCTACTAATACCGTGCATTATGTAATTAACCTAGCAACCAGTTCAGTAGCCAATCAAGAACATTTACTAGAATAAATAATTGCAAAGTTAAAAATAAACAAAATATATTTTCAGACATTTAGTTAGCAACAGGTCTATTCAAAGTGTTACTTCTGATAGCCTACGCTAGGTCAAAAACAATTTGCATGCAATATGGACAAGGCAGGCTTGAGGCTACTCACTTGGACACTCAAGAGATTTCGAGTACATTCGGTAATAGTTTCCCTCACAAGACTCATCTTTGCGACATTAACGAATCTGTTGTCAAGTCAACGAATGTTTTGCTGGGTTTAAAAGTTTTGAAATAGAGAGAGAATCGTCTACCTCAATGGATTCACTGGAGCCCAAACCTGCGCCATTATTTACCCGCGTCGAAGCGAAAAACAGGAGGCGCGCTCAGTTACTAGGCAACCGTCGAGAGAGGACCAGCGGTTACCAGGGGAAGCGATGAAGTTGTTATGATTACATCAGATTTTTAGATTAGATTTGTACTTTGTCAAATGCACAGGTTCGCAGATGTAGTTGCAGTGTACAGTGAAATACTTAAGCTCCGAGCTCCAACAGTGCAGGTGGGAATGAAACAAGAAATAAAAAACTGTAATAATAATAATATATACATATTTACAACTGTGACAATTCTAAATATAAATGTCCATTGGGGTGTGGGAGGGTAATTGTCCATTGAGGAGGGGGGACATAAAAAAAAAAATGTCCATGGGGAGCAGCAGGAGGGGGTGGGTGCGTGGGGGGTTAGGAGTAGTGGTGGCTATTCAGCGTGCCCCGTCTAAATGATGGAAGCGGGGAGAACATGCTGGGTGGCTGAGGTCCCTGATGATCTTCTTGGCCTTCTTGCGGCACCTGGTGTTGTAGTTGTCCTGCAGGGCAGGCAGTGTGCACCCAATGGTGTGTTCGGCTGAGCGTACCACCCTCTGTAGTGCCTTGCGGTCATCGGCAGTGGAGTTGCTGTACCATGCTGTGATGCAGCCCGACAGTATGCTCTCGATGGTGCTCCTGTAGAAAACTGTGAGGGCCAATCGGGGACAGGCCACATTTCTTCAGCCTCCTGAGGCTAAAGAGTCGCTGTCGTGCCTTC